GACGACGACGTGCTGCATGAGACCAACAGGGGCCAGATTATTTCAATTACTGTGTAATTATTCACTCAACTTTAATTAAGGGTGACATTCTGGTGTTTACCGGCTGCATTAGTCGTCTCCTTTCAAATACCAGTTTTTCCCTTTTATATTTGATGTTTTTACTTTGAGTTCTTTGCAGCATAACCAGAGACACAAGGTTAATTTCCCAATTAATAATTAATTTTGTCTTTATTTGTCCAACCAAGTCAATTTTCAATGATATGAAACAGAAAAAAGCAAAAAGTCACATTTCAGAAGCTGAAATCACTGAATGTTTGATTTTTTTTGTGAGAAAAATGACAGAAATTATTAATTAAACAGTAAAATAATTGATGATTAATTTTCAATTGATTGGCAAATTGTTTCAGCTCGAAACTAAAATAACCAAACATAGGATAAAAGATAGCTGTGTGCTGTATGTAGCTGTAATATCTCTGCAAAGTTGGTCTGACGGAAGCAGAAACTTGCCGTTCGTTCCATGTGGAGCGATGTGAGGCCAAAACAAAAACCTAAACCTTAGATAGTAAAGTTGAGTAAAAAAAAGATTGCTGCAGTGACAACAGTAGTATTTTACTGTTACAGCAATGTGTGAACTGTTACTGTGTAGTAGCGCCAGGTTAGCACAAGGCATGAAGAGTCACTTGAGGTCAGTAGATCATCAGTCACCCTCTTAAAGTGAAGATTTCTTCATTCAGCTTGACGGCAGCTCAAAGATTAGACGGATAATGACACTAAAAATAAACTGATTCACGAATAAACTTGCATGAACTTTGCAAAACCGGTTTCTGCTAATGTCAGCGTTATTGGAACTGACCGCAAGTCATGCTGAAATGAGGATTTATGACCTCTTCCCAATTCATTTAAAAAAGTGACATCTCATGTTGACTGTAAATCTTGGATTCATTTTCTTCTTTAGAATTTCTGCCCTTTGGGTGTTGCTTGCTTTTTTTTTTGACTGCTGAAACTTGTGACTGAATTATACAGTATTAGTGGATTTTGTCATGTTTAGATACGCTTTGTGAACACTGGGTTTTCTTCAAGACTCTCTAGATAACCAGATCTCTTTGAGTAAAGCAAAGTGAAAATGAAATCTCAGCTGTAAGAGGCTGCGGGGGAACGTAACGGCAACTTTCTCAAGCAACAAGAGCCCGAGGAGATGGGATGATAAATTCAACTATGTATTTGTGTGCGTCAGCTCTTAAACCCCCATCATTCCTCCTGGTGTGTGTGTGTGTGTGTGTGTGTGTGTCTCATAACAACACTAGGCTTCATGTGAGAGTGAGAGTCATAAACTCAGCAAATCAGACTTAACTGTTTGGTATTGTATGAGAGATGACAGATAGATAATAGTCACAGCAGCTGTATCTGTTATCATAGTTGGACTGGGCCTCATACTGTAGAGCACTGCAGTGGAGGCTTGTGATAAATCACTGTGTCTGATTCTGAAGTGACAACATCTCTGTCTAGCCCTGGATAAATGTGGCAGCAAAACCACCTGACTGAAATAAAAATACAATCTGAGCTGTGAGTTTTGGCCTGCAGTGAAGTCATCCTGTCAGAATTTAACTGACTGCTCAGGTTGAGAGGATAAAAGAGGCAACACGCACAAAAACAAAGCGTGCTTGTAACCTGACCAATCTCAGCTTTAAAAGTTGGCCTGCGCCGCATGGAGCGAAGCCCTGTGAACTCAGCAGCACAAGCGCTGTGCTAACTCAACATGGCAATGGAATGAAACTGTACCCAGCAAAGCTCTGGCCTTTTTCTATCGATGCCAGTGAAACAGCAGACCCGGAGAATGCACAGTTATTATTAACACCAGCATGTCAGAGGCGAAATGACGCTCTTGCATAGCACCAGGCACGAGCCGCAGCGATCGAGAATAGCCAGGACACACAGACGCAGCCAGGAGACGAACGCTAGACTCGTCCCGTGAAAATGTCACAGTAAACGTCGACGACACAGACAGACACACGGGCGGCTGCGTGTGTGTGTGTGTGTGTCAGCCACACATGACTGGAAAAACGAGCTTTCTGCTTTTAACTTCGGCATCAAAATTGGCCTTTCTACTATTGAGATTACAGAGTAGTTTAATACAGGCCTCGTCTCTACCATAGGGACATTAAAAACATTTTCTGTTTATTATATAGCAATACTGGAGAGATAGGAGATGATGGAGAGAGATGCAACAAAGGTCCCCAGCCAGATTCGAACTGTGCACATGGCAGCCATTGAGTCTTAATCCCAGGACAGTATATACTTGCAAGTCTCAGGTGCTTCACACCTTTACTCATCATCCCACATGTACAGTTATGTTTGCATTGCTTACATGTAAAGAGATCACAGTGCTCAGGGTTATTAAGTACTATGATCCAGACCTGCAACTATCATTTTCAATTTAGGATGTTATAAAACAGACAAAAAAAAAAAAAAAAAAAACCCATCAAATCATCAGATGATAAACTGGAACGAACAAATGTTTAGCATTTGTGCTTGATGATGAAAATGATGTAATACTGGCAATTAATTTCTGTCAATCAACTAATCGTTTCATCCTTGAAATCATTAGTCCGATTTCACAGCAATTTGTCAAATGTCAGTAAATATAGGTTCTAGTCTGTCTCATTTATCTGCAAGTCATCAACCACCAGTGGAAGGTGACGCATCTTAATCTCCCCAGCTGTTTGATCATAAAGTTACTTCTCCGCTCCGGCTCTGAAGAGTGTTTACTTATCAACAGGTTTGTCTTTAATCCTGCCTCTAAACAACAACCTGAAATCATTCTCCAGGGTGAAGTCATCCAGCATGGCTCCCTCTGACAAGGAAACACACCCCCTCCCCCCCCAGTGGACAGCTGTGAAAAACAGCGAGTCACAGTCTGTCAAAACCATAACAAACCTCTCTTGCGTCAATCTCTGACAGGCTTTCCCTGCGGCAGTTGTGTAACAAGTTGAGACAATGAAACCGCGGCACCACAGCCCACCACCTGCTCTCTCAGTTTCACCTGATTCATCACACCATCTCTGCCGTGCTACGGACAACTGCCAGAAAAAGGGGATGTGTTATTTATAAACATCATGTTGCTATATGAATAATTCCATGGCTGGTTACCTCTGTAGGCACTTAGTGTTACTAAAGTGAATGTATTAAAAGCCTTATGTCAACAATGTTTGACAAAGTCCCGGCCATGCCAGTTTCAGGGCCTTGCTGCTCATGGACAAAGCACCGTTTCTAAATTAAATTTGAATAATTGATAGCCAGATAAAAAGATTTAAATCCTTTGGAGGCATTTTGATGTTGTCTTAATGTTACTTTGCATTAACAAAATCCAAAACCACAACAAAGGCAAAGAAAGGGCTGATTTTGTGAGTCAATAACCAGTCTGACAGCTAAAATCTAAAGTAGAAGCTTGACTAGCTTCACTTTAAACAAAGGAGTAGTTAACCGGCTTCATCAAAACACAGCACAGCACATAAAGTGAGCACCACTGAGAAGTCTATTACGGAGGTACAGACATGTATCTTTCATGCTGTGAAAATAAACTTGGTCTGAAGTACTTTCATCTATTTTAAGAACACAAATATTTCAAACAAGATCCCTTTCCAAAAAAGTCCACATGCTGTGAGGTTCCTACTGTACCGACTCTGCATGCACTACAAGTATTCCTGACTCTGTTTATTTATCATACGAATGTGGTCTTAGTTCGATTAAACGACAGACAGAACAAAAATGGGAAACTATTTTGCTGATAGATTACAAAAGGACATGAGTTTCAGGTTGGAATTGATGCAACATAAATAGAGAAACAGCAACTGTAAACCGGCTGGACAAAGACGTGCAGATCATACTGTGAGTGCTGCTGCTGTTTGGGTGAACTCAGACCTCCTGCGGGTCACCAAGGTGAGCAACTCTGCTTGCTGTGGCCACCCGAAAGCACCATGGCATCGAAAGCTTGCCTTACAGCTGCTCAGAGCAAAGCACAGGTGACCCGACATGGAAACTCAGCAAAAAAAAAAAAACAAAAAAAAACTGTCCTGTCTCTACTCTGCACAACAACACCGAAAACAGAAAATAAACCTGGTGATGATGGGGAGAAACCAAGATGATGCAAGAAAAGGGAGAGAGAGAGGGACAGTCAAAAAGGAACTGATACAGGTCAGTCCTGCTGACCAAGGACATTAAAATTAAAATGTTTCCTGCCCTTAAAGTTTCAATTAGGCTCATGAGAATTAAGTAACATTTCTTGTGAAGAAAGGAGGGAAAGCTGTGTATGTAAGCAACATAAAGCTGCCGAAGAAGGCCTCTCTGTCTTCTCAGTAAGGATGAGACGTCTTTGCTGTTAGACCAAATGAGGAACAAATAAAGGAGTTGGCAGCAATACATGCATGTCAAGTGACGTTTGAAAGTGCCTTTCAGCTGCAAGGACATCTGTATTAGTATTTAACTTGGATGTAACATCAACACCCGGCAAAGTTATTAGCATAGGCTGTTTGCCCTCAACACTATGAAACACCAGCAATGGATCACGTTGCTGTAAAACCTGGTCAAAATTGATCAACTTTTTTTAACACACTGTGAAAAAAAGTTATTATAGGGAACTTGTGGTGAGGCTTAATGAATACACACGTTACAGGCACGCTAAATTGTCAGAGGATGAGGATAGCAGTTTCAACAGTGTCTCCAGTATTGATTAGTGATCACCAAAACATTAAATACTTGCAATTACTTCGATTTATCAGGGACAATTACAAGTGCTTACATGGGAGAATTTGCTTGTATTGCTCATAATAATAACAGAAAACATGGAAACTTTATGGGTTTTTTTTTTTGGCAACTTGAAGCAAAAGTCTGTGTCAGTAAGGTGTACAGATGAAACCAGTACTCTCTATCTCGCACAAATGTGTGGGAGTGTGAGGGTTTAAGACCTCATGAGGGGTTGGAAAGTGTAGTAAAACTACTGTTACCTTTCGTAGAGCTTGCACGAAGAGGCCTCTCCATTTGTGACTGTTCTCGTCACTTGAAAAGTCGTATATCTGCTGGGGCTGCATTGCTGTAGCGGCTCCTGGCGTTGCCGTGATCCGGTCTGAACTGTCAGCATCGGCCCCGGATAGATAGTCCTTGTGGGTGGGTCAGTCCAGGGCAGGCACGGTGGAAAAAAAAGTCAAACTGGCTGGCTTGCAAATGTGAAGAGTATCGCTAAACTACACCGCGAGTCCCGGGTTGAGTCGGGTTAAACTGCGAAAAATAAGCTACAAAAGAAAAATAAGCACATGTAGCTATAAAGTTAACTCGCTAGCTTGGTGGCTAGTAAGGCTAGCCTGCTGCTGCTGTAAACACGGGACAGCGTCTGACTAAAAAGCTAATGGCTAATAACAATGTTGCTAAGTGTTATACTTGCTACTTGGCGTTTGCTAAAAAGCTTATAACAGGCACATTAAGTTCAGTTTTAAGTCACGACATGGGAGCTCAGCTTGTTGCCAGCTAACTACAGCTACAAGTTACGTTTGGTGATTTTCTGCCTGAACACCTGTAACGTTAGCAGGCTAGCGTTAGCCGACCAGCTAACTAGTGCTACAGGCTGCTGCTGGCCTTGATGCGCTCCGAGTTTTATGTTGTGGCACACGACCCGTTCAGCTCCAAACAAGGCACACTTTCTCCTGCGCTGGGTACTTCGCATTTAGTCATCTTCTCCGCGGCGATCGGGCGCTAAGTCCAAAGTTAATCCCCCCGAAAACAGCGACCAGTCCGAGGCATATCTGTGTAGCGGAGCAGCTGAAGAGCAGTCGAGGTGTTTTTGGTTTGTGAAGTCGAAGATGTTCGTACCAACTCCGCTGCCTGTCTGTCTGCTGCCGCTCTCTGCGCCGCGTCCGCTGTCAGGCACGCACGCTGCGTAATTTCACATTTTATTGGACGGAAAAAAAAAAACAAGGCTGGACTTTCTGTCTCATTTCAATGAAGACCCACAGTGTGAGCATGAGATTCAAAGTTTCACGAATATAGATGGGTCATATAAAAAACAACCTTTACTTAACCACAGTCCTGTTGGAATTGAACAATGTTTACAAAAACACAGCAGAAATATTAAAAAATGGATTTGTACCACATTTAAGCAAAAAAAAAAAAAAAAGCAACTTTATTTTTTATGGCATTTCACAGACATTGACAGTACAAACATAAAGAAGCACTGGTTTAACAACAGCATCTAATTTCGGTATATTTTGTGCTTGCATTGGAGCTTATACAGTATTTTTGTTGCAGTGATTCCGCCTCCCTGTGGACAAACTGTATAAGTGCGTAAAAATTAACAACTGCTCAAATAAAAACTGTCAAAATTTCCAGCAACACTTGAAGTATTAAGAACAACTGAACACAATAAAGTTGTTTATTTTCTGATTTCTAGTTCCTTTTCTCCTTATATTAAAAGGTACCTTAGATTAATGCAAACATTGGTACATTTGTTATTCAAAAATATGTATATATGGTATAAAATACATTAACATTCATTTGTCAGTAAATGGACTGAAATAACAGGGAGGGAGAACAATTTTATAGGAACATTACCTGGATATTTTTAGCAACATGTGAAGCGCCTGAAACTACCACAAAAAACAAACTGCACCAGAATTACGTGAGATCACCTCCCCACAAACACACATTAAAAACATAGAAAGAAAAACACCCAAGTTTTCTCAGTTTGCTTTAATGTAAATATGACATAATTTGAAAGCCTTTTAAATATCAAAATTATTTTGGAAGACAGAACTGTCAAGTGAAGTAAGGACAACCCGTCTTTGTAAAATGTGCGTTCTATAGCTATAACTGTGCGTTACATAGAGAGTTTCTTTCTAAAATGAGATGAACAATTAAAAAATGATACCCAGATACCCAACGTCCCATGTGAGTTATTGGTAAAATCAGAGATCAATAGAAAATATCATCTTTAAGTATTTGTTATTTATAATAAAGAGAATATAATTTATTTAATTCAGCTCAAAACTTCCCCAAATGGATTTACAGTAACTATGTTTGAAAGTCTTCATTCGTTTAGAGTGGACTGTACAACACTCAAAACGACAGAAACAAGCTGCTCTCAGTCAGCTGCTGAGAAAATACACAACACAACCAAAAGTGAAATAAGAAATTCCATACAAGAATAATGCTCTTAAACATCCCTCATTTAAAATGGTGATTGTCCAAAAACAAAAGTTAATATCACCTTCAACACAACGTGTTTGTGTATTTCTATATTCCTTTTTTAATGTTTCAATCTGATGGTAAAGTCACCGGAGCTAAAAACTTTGTTCTGTGCTTGATGCTTTCACTGACAGTAACTCATGATGTTCTCTGTTTTTAGACAAATGTAGTGCAGAAAAATGGATTTTATTTTGAAATGTGGTGGAGTAAACATTACACAACCTGAAACAGCACTACTTAAGTAAAAACAGTCTTAAAAATGTAATTAAATTGAACATGTGCCACTTCTCTACCCCTTTATTAAGGCTTGACCTGTAATAAAAAATGTTGATGATGCTAACGTAGTGACAGCTTGACTCAAGAATTGCACTTTTACTTTTCACTTGGTCACCTCAAGCTGACGTTTTTGGTGTTCCTGTTTTTCTCTACAGCGAGAAGCGGCTCTCCACCTCGTCCGCGACCATCTCAGCGATGGCGAGGGAGGAGGTAGCCGCTGGCGAGGGAGCGTTACGCACGTGGAGCACCCGGCTGCCCACATCCCCAACCCCGCCATCAAAAACAAAGTCATCCACGAGGTTTCCGTCCCGGTCGAGGGCCTGAGCTCGAACTCCTGCAGGACCCCTGTACAGGAAAACAACCAGGGTTACAGAAACACTTTTTACATAAAACCAAAAGCTTGAAACAGATATTATGCCTCTGTATTTCTATAATAAACATGAATCTTTAAGTGGTGTATCATTCCTCTACCTGAGCACGTCACTCAGTGAGAGTTCAGGGATGTACTTCTGCAGGATTTTAACCTGTGCACCGATGAAAACGCCCCTGTACATTTCTCCAATCCCATATGTTATGTTCCTCATCACCAGCTTCTGAAGGCCCCTGCAGCATCAACAGAGAAAGAATGAAATATTCACCCACAACTGCACTGTCATCAGATCATTTCAGAATAGTGTAAATGTTGCTGTTATTAAGACAAATTCTCTTTATAATAATCATCATAATCTTTTAGGTAAAGTTTGATGTTGCACCTGAACGAAAGCGCATCTGCGAAGTCTCTGACGTTGAAGTCGTACACTTTGTAACCCTCCCTCTTGAAGGCGAGGACGGCATTAGGACCGAGCCAAACGCTTCCATCCATCCGAGGGGTGAAGTGAACTCCAAGGAAGGGGAAGCGAGGGTCAGGAACCTGCAAAAATGTTTCATAAAAACAAAAATGAAGCAGCAGCAGTGAGGTATGTTGACATTATTTAATTGGATCCATTCAATAACAGAGGAGGTCCATTGATATTTTGCACATATAAGAGTAAAACTGTTTCCAAAAAAGATGGAAGCATACTTTCAAGCTTTCAATTTTACTTAAAACTGAAAGGACTAACTCTGGACTAATACTTTATAAATCCCCACAGGTGAAATCTTCTGCCACGAGGTCACAGGTTTGGTTTGATGCACTCACAGGATTTCTAATGGTCATATCTTCAACCTAGGTTGATTTAGGTTGAAGATATGACTGGGTGATTTAGGTTGACCCTGGGTGATTTAGGTTGACCCTGGGTGACCCAGTAGGGCTGAAAATATTTTGAATGCAACTCATTTTTCGACAAATTATTTTCAGCTGTCAGGGATCTGCCTCGAAATCAAAGTACAGGGAGTGAAGGATTGAAACATACAAAGATATCCAACCTTTTCAGATGGCAGCACGTGGATGTTATTTCCAGAGAAACCTGGATTCCCCCTGAGCATTTCCAACCGTATGTACCGATTAAAAAAATAGAGTGGCAGCTTCTGATCTCATGTTATGTGATTTTAAGGCAGAAAATTCCTTCATAATTGAAATAATAAAAAAGATCTATTTTTTGCCAAAGTTTGACATTGCCTAACATTTCTCTAAGGAAGTAGAGATTATTTACATCATTTCTCATCACATGCTGGTAGAATATGATGAGAAACATCTGCAGATCAAGACTTACAGGGTAGATATTTCCTTTGACCAGGTAGTGTTTCTCTGGTTTCAGCACCAAATAATCTCCTCTGAAGGGGACGATCCTCGGCTCCCGACTGCATCCAGAAATCTGCGACAGGCGGTCTGAGTACAGGCCTCCACAGGTCAGGACATAACGGCACCGCACCTCGTTACCCTGCCAAAACAATACAATGCAAAGAATGCAGAAGAACGGCGACCAGGCTAAACACTGCGATGCTTTTATTTGTACGCGTCTTACCTTTGTGTCTCGGATTGCGATCGGATAATTCATCCCTGCAAATAGAAACAAATAAAAACCCCATTCATATAATTATAGACTTAAAATAACTACAGCTCGTTTTTTAAATCATAACTTTGTTGACACATTAATACCTTCAGTGCTCCCAGCTGGACTCTCCTTGACCATGGAAATGTCATTGACCTCGTATTCTGTTACCACCGCGCCGCCTGCCTCCTCAAAGTCTGTGCCATACCTGAGAGCCACCATCCTCCAGTCCACGATGCCGGTGTAGGGCGAATCCAAGGCCATTATACCCTGAAAACATGTCTCACTGTAAGCCTTCACTGCTATCTGCTCTTTTGTGTAGATGAAAACCTCGTCTTGAAGCCTCTTACTCTGCAGTACGGCTCTCGCTCTCGGATTCCCTTGGCGTCAACGACGCTGAGGTCACGCACGTTGTTCTTCAACCCGCGCTCATACAGAGCTTTCAGTCTGGGTATCTCCTCCTGCTCCACAGCCACAATGAGCTGACAAGGCAGAGATACAGCGATCAATACTGAGATAGACACAAAGGCAATGATCCACAGGACAGATAATATACAGCACCTGTTCACATCTCAATACTTTGATATGTCGCTGTCAAGAAGCTCATTCTGGCATCAAATGCTCAGTCAGACTTTTATTGTCTTCTTTTTTTTTCTTTAATCAGACAGTTTCTGATTTAAATCATAACTGTGATGATTTCAGATTGTGTTTTATTCAGGTAAAGTTCTCATACATCTGCTTGTGTTTTTGTAAAATGTTGATATTACTAAAAAAGAAAAATGTTATAGAGAGAATTATGTTTGGTGTCAGTACAAAACAGACACATATGAACTGCTACACCTGTATGACAGTGTGACAGCAACAGTCAGGGGCTTAATTCAAACGAATGCCACGTCACAGACGTTCTCAAACTTTCAGTGTCTGTTAATAGATGGTTCATTTATCATGGCGTGTCTGGTAGCCCAAATGTAAAGGTGCATATTACATAACTCTGTGGTCTGGGGTTCGATTCCTGGCTGGGGGGCCTTGTTGCATGCACCCCCCCCCCCCCCCCCCCCCCCCCCCTTAGATCCTTAAAAAACTTCTTTATCACATTGTGTGGATTTTGTTTTTCATGCAATGCCTAAATCAGTTTTTCCCCAACATCTGGATTACATGCGTGTGGTAATTTAAAGTACAGCTGTGTCTTGTGACCCTGAGTCGGCCGAGCACCTCGAGCCGATCATCCTCAGTAAACACGCTGCGTTATGTCTTATCTGGTTAAAACACAAGAGGCAGACCTTTCCACATCTGTTGTAAGGGAGTCCTTTCTTCTCGCAGTACTCGTAGGCTAAAGTGGCTCCTCGCACACACAGACGGGCCTTCAGCGACCCCGGCGTGTAGTAGATCCCGCTGTGAATGACTCCACTGTTGTGCCCACTCTGGTGCGCAGCTGGTGAGTAAGAAGACGACAGAGAAATTGAAGAACAAAAAGAAGAAAGAAAAGGAGGTTGTTTTTTCTTCTTCTTCAAACACCCACAGACTAATGGAAGAAATACAGCTAGTTTTTCTAGATTCTTGAATTTCATACACGTATTTGCTTTCATGCAGAGAGTTAGAATAGAAGACGGCACCACTGTCGTGTTTATACAGTAAATATGAAACTGCATACAGGAGATATTTCAGGTTTATTACTTCAAAGGCCACAAATCAAATGTCAAAACCATAAAGAGCAACCAAATGAGACAAGCAGGACACATTACATTAAATTAGGTAATAAAATAAACAATAAATATTATAATAATTATATTTTTTAATGCTTTCAGAATTGTAGAAATCAGTGCAGTGTGTAATTATGAGAACACAGATGCATTTTTGTTGTTTTGGCTCTGTACGCCAGCACACTGGATGTAAAATGAAACAGTGACTATGAGGTTAAATGGTAGTCTCAGGTTTGAGCATGTTTGATGGAGTTCAGTGGGTGAACAGTGTTGGCTTCTGTCCAGGACGATAACAGGATTACATACCTTCGCTGTTCACCCAATATCTTTGAATTAAAGACGAAACGTGGCAGATCCAGTGAGCTGCAGCACGGAGCCAACACAACAATAAATCTGTCATCTTACAAACCTTCATGGACCACACTTTGTTACTGGGATTAATTACTGACAGACAAAATATTTTACTCTTTGGAACATGTTCCCTTCTTTCACAACAACTGTCAAGCCTCCACCCACCAAGCTCTTTTTCTTTCTCCAGTAGGATGAAGCTGAGAGACGGGTGTCGCAGAATGAGCTCCCTGGCTGTGGCCAAGCCCACGATGCCGGCACCCACCACGGCCACGTCATACGCGCTGAGGGACAGACAGGAGGTGAGGTTAGGGACCGTTCAAATTTAAGATGGTTAACTGATAAACAACTGACTGCAGGAGGTAGAGAGCAGAATATTTAGGTCAGCGGTTCAATGTCCAACTGTACGAGCAACCAATAGACCTTTGAGACTGGTCACTTGTGAAACCCCTGACACAAGGGTTGTAGGTAACAGACCATTTGTAACTTCAAAGACAACATCCAGCTCTGTCTCAAGTTTTTTTTCCCTGACAAGTAAATCCATTTACAAACCACAGTAATTACAACGGGCTATTATGTAGTGGGAGGGCTTAACGTAGCAGCAGTTCCAGTACATCCAACTTCTCCACAATCCACCACAGGGTTTTCACATTATGAAGCATTTGTACAGAGCTGTAAGAACACAATGTACAAGACTGGGGGAACAGTTTGAATCAAATGCTCTCATGAAGGCACGGGACACTTGGAAGAGCAAACATCTTGTTTTGATTTTTGAAAATTAGAAGCAGGCTGAGAGCAGTAAAACTCAATGCAGGGTGGAAGCAATAAAACCAATGGAGAAAAACATTCTCTGGAACATCATCTCTACGCAACTTCAGGTTTATCACTGAAAATGTGCTAAAAAGTTGAAATGTTACAGAAACTTTGGTTGAGGGGCTTTAATTCCTTAATTTGCATTCAGACAAGTAGAGCGGGAGAACAGGACTGTCAGAACTTGTAAAAACATGTAGTTGATCTGACTTCAACCTAAAGAACATTTTATCCGGCAACTTAATCTGAGATGAAATTGGGTTCTGATTTCTTGCTGGTGTCATTTATCAAAACCAGAAGGATGACTTTATTGCAATGAATGAATAAAGTAAAATTATTTTTCAGTGTTTACTTAAAGCAGGCTGGAGAGGGGAGCCAGAACATAAGCTGCATGCCATGTAGATTCTGTAGGTCTAATATAAAAGACAAACTGCAGACATGCTTTCATGCAAAATTTGTGACTGACTGCTGGACACTGGCAAAGAAATATGTTGTTCTGCAGGTAAAAGTAAATCTGACAACACGTGCTCTGACAAATAAAAGTTTAAAAACTCAAAGTTCAAATGCAGATTGAGCAAGCACATTTGGGGAGGCACAATACAGACACCAATGTTTTGTGTGCGTAAACAATGTGGCGGGACTTTTGCAGATCAGGTTATGCAGAGAGCAGCAATGTTGTGCAATCTGGTTCTTGTTCCTGAGTGTCCTTGGTAATTATAAGTTGTAATACGATATTCAAGCAGGTACCCGCTTATCTGCTCCTTTCTGTGCCAGTGAGTAAAATTAAAACAAGGAGTCCTCACCAAACTCCTCACATGTAATTAAACTGGACTACAACACCACACTGGCTGCACACTGTCAGTAGTAGCCTGCCTCCTCCTCTAATGTCAGTCTTACCTGTGCAGCTGTCTGCTTGTAATGTCCTTTAGCAGTTTCGGCTGCGCTGCTCCAACAGCCTTAAAAGACGCGTCGCTCAGTATCCGGAACATTGTCACCGCGTTTTAAAAACACCTCAGAGTCGCTTCTTCATTGTACAACTACCCGAAAGGTTTCCCTGAGTTTTGTGTTTGGTGTTTCCTCCTCCTCCCGTTGCTGCAGCCGCCGCTAGCTCCTCACTCTGCTACTCTATCCCGTAGCCACGCCCCCTCCGTCAGTGACGTACGTACGTAAACAAGTCCAGCCAATGGGACTGAAGGAGCTTATGCGTCACGATGTCAAAGGTTGCAGCGATGGACGCGTCCCAAATGTAAACAGTCTGGTCCGTTGGAGGGCAGGTGAGAGTTTCTAATCTGTTTCTACTGTGTCGCAGTTTCTTCAACTGTTTTTTTTAACCGTATAAATTCAGTTAAAGAACTTATTCGTTTTTTAAATTTGTTTTGCAGCTCAGAGAAATGAGGCTTTTATCGAAGACAGTGCAGTGTGCGGCGAAGCAGAGGGACTGGAGCCGCAGACACTTCTGGGGATGGCTCAATGCAATTTTTAACAAGTGAGACAGCATTAATAAGCCTAGATATTAACAATATACGTGTGATAGCTACGCAGCAAGGACATGTTAACGAGGGACACACATACACTCAGAGGTCACTTTATTAGGTACACTCACTCAATATAATGCAGCCCTATACAACAGCTCTGCTATATAGTTTGCTTTAGATGCCTGTAATGTTCAGTTTCTGTCATACTGGTGCTAATTCAATTACACGTGTGTATATTAGCACTGAGGTCATAGTTAAAGGTGGTGTTAGAGTGAAATACATTATATATAGAGGTGTTTCTAATATTCTGTACAGTGCATTCAGAAAGTGTTTTTCACTTTGTCCACATTTTGTTATGTTGCTAAAAATGTGGTGCAACAACCATACACTTTAAGTCTAAAAGGTTTTGAAATAGAAAACAACAAGGATGTCTTTACATTTTGAAGTTGCTAACAGCACAAATGGTATTTTAACTAAATAAACAAACAGTGGTTGCTCTGCTCAGGTTAAATGTGCGACCTGGTGGGCAGGTTGCCATGTAGACTTTATCTTCTGTTGCCCTCTTCATTCCTCTCCTCTGCCCTGTCAGCCCCAACCAAACGTGACCCATCACATTATGTGTAATCAGTGTTTACCGTACTGTGAATGTTTGTTGGTCTTTATTCAGGGTGGACTATGAGAGGATCAAAGCTGTTGGTCCAGACCGAGCCGCAGCAGAGTGGCTGCTGAGATGCGGTGCCAAAGTGAGGTTCCAAGGTTCTGATCGCTGGCATCACGACTACAACGGACTGCCAACAGGGCCTCTGGGCAGACACAAGATCCAGGCGATTGACGCTACTGAATCCTGCATCATGTACAGGGGGTTTGATCACCTGGGTCAGTCTTACAGTGTGAAGAATATTATGTTTCTGTCCTCGTGTAAATTAGGGGGATCACCAAAGTCACTGGAATTGTTCCTCTGTGGACCATAAATGAAAATTTCATGGGAATCTATCCAGTAGTTGACAACATATCACGCAGTGTTGGATTAACAGACTAACGAGAGCCTTATTAAAAGCCTGTTCAAATCAAAGTTTAAAGCCATGTTCAGAAAGTGTAAATATTACATTAACTATGTTAACGTGAGCTTAACCTCGGCCGCTGAGCTGAAAGTGATTCCCCTCTGTGTTAACAAGAAAGGAAGGGTGAGGGTGAAAGTGCACCTCTCCCAGTCTGATTATCCAAGAGTGACGCAAGTGACGAGGATGTTTTACACCGGGCAGCCACAGATAGTGCGTCGTCTCTGACCTTGTTGGCCGCGGCGCTCCAAACTTGTGTGTTTTTCAGAGCCAGAGTCCACACAGATTTATTTTTGGTGTAAAGTTCTTCTTTGCCCATGTGAATGAAATCAGTAGAATGTGTGCTAATGCTGTTTTTGTGGTCATTTTTCTAGATGGTTTGACACATGTGGAGGAAATCAAGTTCAACAAGTGTATCTACATAGAAGACACCTGCCTGGAGAAGCTGAGCTCCATAGAGAATCTGCAGGAGAGTTTGTACATGATGGAGGTTGTGTCATGTGGAAACGTGACCGATAAGGGCGTCATTGCCCTGCACAGACTCAGGTGAGTGTTAGAGGTAAACTTTAAATCTTTTGTATCAATTTATTTATTTACAAAGGACAAAAGTTATGTTTAAAATGAATCAGCTTCATTCATTTTGCTGAGAGAAAGAGATGAATGATGTAGTAATCAAGTATTAATTCCACACAGGAATCTGGAGTATCTGTTTCTCAGTGATCTGCCGGCAATCAAGGACAAACAGATGACAACCGACAGACTAAAGACAGCACTTCCACGTCTGGATATAGCACTGGACCTGGACTGACAGCTTCCTGCTTCTTAGAGCATGCTGTAATTGTAACATATGAATGCCTTGTAAAGGTTTTCAAAGTAAAAGACCCAAACATGTAGAGGGAAAGACTGTAGCGTGCAGGGCTCTGAACAACCAGGTGAATTTACATGCCGTTCATTATGTTTTAGTGTTTCTTCATGGAGATAGTGTGAAGCAAGTTCTGGGTTAATGGGAAATATTTAAGTTGATGTTTTATGTTTAAGCTTGTGTGATTGAATGTTAAAGAAACAGTCCAGCAAAGAGAAAAGTTAAAGCACTTTATATTGTTGACACCATTTTTTTTTCTTTTTCTAATAGAGTGAACTATTCTTTACTTTATTATATTGTCAACATTCAAAGTATTAAAAGTGACTCCATATGTACACAGAGAGAAAGAATTTGAGAAAATGCTGAGGAATCAAGGATTCAATAATCTTTTAAATCATTTCTCTTTAGATTAATTTGGCATTTGTACAATATGAGGACAGACAGATGGCTGAGAACATCCATAGCACCAAAGTTCCAGAGATAACGAGTACAGCGTCGTACTGTCGCTGCTAAATGCGTGTGAAAAGTGGTTTAAGGGAATGTTTACGACTGTATTCACTCCTGACGTCAATAAATATTATCAGAAATGCTCATGAGTCGTTATCTGTGACAAAAAAAAAAGTCAAAGTTTGTGTCCTACGTTATAACTTAGAACCAATCATAAAACTCACTACCAAAACATGTCACTCTTACAGAGTCCGTCATTATATATATATATATTAAAAAAAAATACATTTGGCAAACCAGGCAAGGCAGTACGTACGTCGTAGTTTTACCTTCAGTCCACTGGGCGACTACGAGCGGAGCAACACGTCGCTCCTCGTCTTTACACAGCTACACAAAAACACAACCCAATCAGCTTGAAATGTAGGCAACGTACATAAACCAACATGTCCCGAGTCCATATGTTGGGAATAGTGCATAGACTCACATCGGTATCAAGACACACCCGACACACCTCACGTGGAAAAACGGAACATTTTAAAAAGTGGTTGGATCCTCTCGAAGGCTTTGAGGAAATAAAGGTGCTGCCAGAGTCTGCTGCGTTTCCTGAGGTTTTTTCCAGAAAACGTTGATGCTTGACGGTGATGTGTTCAGGGTCAGATTCAGATCAGTGTGTTTAGATGTTCGGTAGGTGATAGTTGAACTTGCGCAGGTTGTTGTAGTACTTCTTATTGTCCAGAGCTGGGAAGATGCTGCTGCCGGTCAGCTGTGGCAAATACTGGATGGTGGAGAAATAATACAATTAAATTTAAGGGACAATTATGAATGAATATGATTTTTACTAAAAAACAGCTACTTTACTGATCCCTCTAGTTGTGAAATTAAATACAGTTTGAGTATGTGGCTGGCAAATATAGAAAATATAATAGTGAATAATGTAAACTTTGCTGTCCGAGTCGTTTCATACATTCTTTCATGGTGTTTCCCAGTGGTTTAGTTTCTTCTACAGCGACACATCATCTCAGAAAGATAAAACTAACAAGATATTTAAAAAAAAAAATAACAGCAATGCAGAAATGTTATGTTCCTGTCCACCTGCTGGGTTGAGTAGGGATTGCATGCATTTCAAATACGCAACAGAGAAGGTATCAATACATAAACGCTGCAGTTTCACTCAGAGATTTTTCACCAGCACAGTGTCCTCGAGTCCTTTGAGCAACATCTCTCCTTTTTCCTTTTCTTTTATTCTACTTCTATTTGACGAACTGTCAAGATAATCTGTTAATAAAGTGAGACACTATTCCCTAATCGAATGTGAAAGGATATCTGGGAAATATAAAAACCAACAAAGTCCAACAGGACAGAGAAGTTTCCTTTGACCTGACAGTTTGTTCGTGGGTCAATGTTTTGTTTTTCTTTGTTACTCACATAATCTACATATTCCTCCACTGTTCACCCCAGAATTTCTCTCAAAGTTAATACAAATTTTCTAGCAGATTTGACAGATGATGGATTAGTTGGCACCACTGACTGACGTTAGCCCTAAATGTGTCAGCTGATCAGTGTTGTAAGTCCAGTCATCATTCTTCACACACACGGCTGCTCACCCCAGGGGGAAGGTGTTTGCGAGGTAAGCGCGTCCTCTTGTTGACGGAGCGGTCCTGCTCTCGAGACAGGCTTTTTTCCCGCAGGCTGTCGAAGTACGGATGCTGGAGGAGCTGCTCGCAGGTCAGCCGCTCAGACGGGTCCATCCTCAGACAACCCTGAACCATCGACAGGAGACAGGTGACAGGTGACGGAGCGGGTCTGTTTTATGAGATCTAGTGTTTTCCTTTACTTTTTCTGACACACACATATATCTATCTTCGAACAGTAAACGATGTTGGGAAAAGGGGAATTTATCCAGATTAAAATCCAAACCTTTTCAGCTTGTGTAGCTCGTGTGTATTACGTTAGATGTGCATTTGATTTTTATTTTGCTGTGAGGTTAAAGACGACATCTTTACCTTCATGAGACTCAGAGCTTGATGCGAGAGGTTCGGATATTTCTGCTCCAAAGGTTCCTACGGAAACAAAACGACAGACACTTAACATTAATTCAATGTGACTTCTCAGACTTCACTGCTTCCTGTTTAAATTTACATTATTTAACCTTTTTGTGCCAGGAAAAAGTCACTCAACTGAATACCACATTTACAGAGAAGAATGACAGTCTCTGTATACAGCTGATGTAGATTAAAAAGCAACAACATCCACTCGTGTGATGGAGGCAGACGGAGCACATCCACAGGGAGTGGGTGGTGTGTCTCACCATCTCTAGTGGCTCCGGGATGGAAACTCCGCTGAAGAACTGGTTGTTGCTGAAAACCTGCTGATGTCGAGGGATCAGGTCTCCTGCAGAGGACAAATTAACATAACACACAGTTTGAGTCGATCAGTACGAGTCGTTGTTGTTGTGGTTGTTGTTTTAGCCTGAACTCAAAGTCAAAATTATTCCTTGAAGTGTATTTGATTTTTTTTCAGGATATGAATAAGAAGCTTGGCATTGAGATTTCATCCAGTCCTGCTAAACATTTCCAACTTAGAAACATGTTTTTTTCTTTGTTTTGCCTTTTTAATTCTCACTTGTGAAAACAAAGACTATTAATAACAGATGGACTCATCTTCATAATCAATATCCTGATAATCCTAATAAATAGATTTAGACATGTGTTACACTCAAATCAAATTCTATGCGGTTGGTAATAATGTTCCTCACATTGTAGTGCACTTTCTGTTTTGTTTCAGCAACAAATTTTGTGAACGATTTGATTTGAATTTGCTCTTTAATGTAAATATTGTCAGATTGGTCCGAATCATCATTTCATCACGATATAGTTCTGTGGAAAAAACTCCATTAATCATCCTCACAGAAATCATTACAGAAAACAAGTAGTTTTACTGTAAAAAGGAAACTATTTCTCACTCAGTTGGACTGCACACGTGTTTCCCAGACTGTAAGAGACCAGCAGCAGCTGACTGATCTTACCCAGAGTCTTTCTGATCAGGTACAGCTGGTCCATGTCGGACTTCCCGGGCCACAGAGGGATCCCTGACATCAGCTCAGCGAACACACAGCCGATGGCCCACACGTCCACCGGAGGGCCGTACTGAGTGTCTCCCACCAGCAGCTCAGGGGCCCGATACCAGCGAGTGGCCACGTAGTCTGTGTAGTAGTCACAAGGACCAGCTGATCGGCACAACACAGAGGCAGAAACACGTGACACGAGGGATGAGACCTGGCTAACAATATATCTTTTACTCAATCAATCAACCACTTGTTTTACTTTAGTAAAAATAGTTAGTAGAAGATGAACCTAACAAAATGTTATTAAGTATTTCAGTCAGTGTAGCTCAGTGTCTGTTATATAATGAAGGTTTCAAAACAACCATATGTGACTGAGGCTTCTCCAACCAGACAAACAACTAACTCTGATCTTGAGGCTTTAAAAAATTAAAGTACATTTTTAAAAAAAATTGACTGTTCTCTTTCAGTAGAAACCTGAGCTGCATATCTGAAACACGCCGGAGCCATAAACTCCATAAACTAAAAAACATTCAAGCAGAGCTGTGTCCACCAGGTGGCATCGTCACTCGCGTTGACAAAAACTTACTGAGAATCCTGGCAAAGCCAAAGTCACAGAGTTTGATGACTTGGTGTTTGGTGATGAGGATATTCTCCGGCTTGACGTCTCTGTGGATGCACTGCAGGGACACAAACGCTCACATTTAATCACTGTATGAACTTGGAAACAGGCCCGAAAGCTCAGTAACGTTCAGATGGTTGTGGCGGTGAGACGTTGAGGATAAAGGGCCTGTGTGAGAAACAGTAAAAAAAAAAAAAGGAAGAGAGAGAAGAGAGAGAGAGTTCTTTCTGGATTTCATGCCACCCTGTTAAATAGAGGCCCTTGTTGCGTTTGTTGTGTCTAGGTGATACATTAACTGTCGGTCAGCCAAAGGAAGGAATTCTTGTTAAAAAAAAAGAGCCATAAAGCAGGAGGCTTGTTGGGAGCCGGAGGAGGGAGGAGACCTGAGGAATTCAAAAACAAGCCGAGGAGAGGGTCGGACAGACAGCTGTAAAACCCGCTGTGTCCTGCACTGAGAGGCAGGTAGGAGAAGAGACCGAGCCACTTACGTTCTGTTTGTGACAGAAGTTGACGGCTTGGAGCGTCTGCCAGGTGATACTTTTCACAAGGTGCTCGGGGACTCTGGGAGACAAACACAAATCAATATGTTAGGGCTGATCGATCAGTTCCAGCTGATCAACAGAAATCAATAAGGTTCAATTACTGACTCTGGAAATAGTAGTTGAAACATAGTTCATGAAAACTGAGCAAAACTCCATCAGCTGAAGAAGCCCATGAAATGTGGTTGAAAATTTCCAGTAGATTAAGTCAAACTTTGATTTAAACAACTAGATTTTAGTCCTTTAAGGAAAAAAGCCAAACATCTGTTGATATTATATTGATAGTTTAATTACTTTTTCTTTGTTTTATATCAGTACAAAGTGTAAATATCTTTCCTTGTCTGTTTTTATACCCGTTAGACAGAAGTGAGTAGATCTAAGTCAGGGACGAGTTTGGAGACAAAATAAAAACATCAAATAAGTTTGTTCTTCAGGAGTAAATCCCGTCAAGACAAGGAAACATCTCGCAGCTGCAGATGTTTTATCTTCAGTGGATCATGGTGAAGTGACCGAGAGAGTCTGTGCGTCACTGTGCAGCGCTGCACTCCGTTACTCTCCTGCTCATCGCCATATGTTCACAGACTCATCCTCAGACTGCTTCCTCCTTTCTCCGTGTGCACACGCAGAAGTCAAAACCAAAGCGGCCTGTGTTCTCGTGATGTTGGTCTCGTGAGTCAGGACACAGTGAAAGGGGTTTTTTTTTTTTTTTTTTAAATGCTGCAACTTTTTCTTTGAACAACGTACAGAAGGACCCGGAAACATCAGAGCTGATCAATGCTGGTGAATTTGTCATATGTGGGTGGGATATTGTGTATATTCTTATGGTGAGTGACAGCTCTCTTTGTCTGTTTGTTGTTTGTATTCATTGTCATAACAGTGACTTTTGTGCTGCCTCTTAGTAATCGAAACATTTAACAAGACGACGATGAGACGTGTGTGATCAATCACCAAGGTTACTACAGTTCATCCTGATGGGGACATGAATATCTGCACCGAATTTCACAGCAATCCATCTGATAGTCGTCAATGTGTTTCACTTCAAAACCAAAAAAATGTCGACCTCGTGATGGCGCCACAGGAGACGTCAGGGGATCAACCAAAGTTAGTCAGTCAGTAAAATTGATCCTCTGGGGAACTCGAATGTCTGTAGAACGTTTCATGGCAGTGAATCCAGCAGTTGTTGAGATATTTCAAAGTGGTGGATCGAGAAACAGACCAATGATCCCTGAGCCACACTGCTAATGGCTAAAAATTCAACTAATTAGTTGCTGCAGAACTAAGTTTGTTTGGGGACCAGGAATCTGGAACAAAAACTGGTTTAACACAACCCAATAAAAGAAGCATGGACAGATGGATAACTCTGTTCTTGTTCTTCGTTTTCTGTCGCTCTCTAGCTTTCCTCTCCGCAGCTCTGTTTTTTCCCGACACCTCTTCTCCCTCAGACGACGGTGAACAGTTCGTTTCCATTGTGAGTCCCGATGCTCAACACTGAGGCTTTGTTGGTTCAGGGACCATCATCTATCAGTGTTGCCGGGGAAATGGCTAAATCGAGCCTTGTGACTGGCAATTAATAACAATCTCCGCCCCTTCTCCCCACTCTGTTTTCTCTTCTTTTGAACCCTCTGCGTCCAGGGGGCTGCAGGCCAGGACCAGAGGGGGGAAACCAGACAGCGAAAACACTCCATATAAAATGTGGCCGAGCCTAAAGAGTCCCGACAGCTCCTCGACAAATGCAAAGCATTCTGGGACAGCATCACTGTAAACATTCCACAGTGGGCAGGTCAGCCTCCCGGGAGACGGGCCTTGTGCCCATCAGAGGCGGACAAAGCGCGGGGTACAGTGTGGTACGTATGTAATGCAGAGATAATAGAAAGCACACAGCAGTTTGTTTAATGAAACGCAACCGAACTCAGATTAATGCTCCGAGTTTCTCAGTGTGTCAGAGTGAAAGTCCGTACAGTACACGGAGCAGTCAGCTGTGTGCTCCTTTCACATCATTCAGACCCAAATAAAGTCCTTCAACAGACGTGTTTTCTTTTGATTGCATTACTGATACAAGTTTCTACAGCTGGGAATGAACTTCACACACGGATAAGGATATTTTACAATGTCAATATAAACTTTATCTGTTATTTGCTGCTGTTTTTTTGTTTCTTTTTGTATTTTTTGTTTTTGAACATCACAAAATATAAAACCTTGAGATTTCGCCACTTTTTTGAGATTGACAGTTGTTTCTTCGTCTTGGAAACAGCAGCTGACAACACAATCTCACCACCGCATCCATTTAGCAGCCGTTCTGGAGCTTTCGCTTGTATCGCATGATCTTCAGCAGGTAGCGTCTTTATGCAAACGGTTCCTTAAAAATGCTCAATACAACCGGAAACTTGAACGTCTTCAAGTTCCGCGAAGACTGAGCGAACTGTCAACCGAGGAAGGCCATGAGATACGATTGAAAGCGCCACAACAGCTACTAAATGGACCTTGTAGTTCTCACAGACTTGAATATAATATATATAATATAACTTGTGCTTGGAGCATTCATTTAGACATTTGTGTGTTTTATCTTTTTCTTATGATTCAGCTGAAAGTCACAGAAGAAAATAAAGATAAACTGAATTATTATTAGAGTTGAGCAAAACTCAAATATCTTAATTCACTCTGTACAGGCACAGAAGGGAAAGTCTTAGTTATGGTGTAAACTTGCATGAAAGTGTTGGAATGTGACCATTTCATTTATGCAGTGAGTAAACTATAGTGTTGTTTGGGCCTGGTATATTTTTATACTAGCAAAAATTGTGTTTCATACATTTTATATTGTAATGTTAGAGTCAATAAAGTCAGTAAACTAACTAAGTGGATCTATCCCTGTGTCGTCAGAGAGGTAACCAGAGTGAGTCACTCACCCTCTGGGATGTCGGTCCAGCTCGTTCAGGACTGTGTGGTCGCAGTACTCAAACACCAGGTGAAGTTTCCGTTTACGTCGAAAAACCTCGATCAGATTTACCAGGTTGGCGTGTTTCAGTTGCTGCGCAGATACAAGAAGGGAAAGACATCTTAGCACCCGCGGGTTCTTTTGTGAATCACGCACATTATCAGGGAGAGGCAGCAACACACACGAAACCAGTTCAACTTATTTTAGTAAACCAGTAAATCTCGCTGCTCAGAGGACGGTAAAATCAGGGGTTTGCTTTTATCAAACAGACTAAACTGTTAACAGCTGGTAATAAACATGCTGTTGCCCCTGACAACCTGTCCCCATCCTGTCCTATTTATGAGCTCCTGGTGTCCTGCAGGCCACTAACACTCCCACCCACAGCATGACTAATTAAACCACTAACAATCGTACCAGTACATCTTTGAATTATTATTACGCAACATAAAAGAAAACAAGAAAAAGCAGGTTTGAGTGTTTATGTGAGATAAACTTGACAGAGATGGAACAGCATCAACGTTTGGCCACTAAACAATCACTGTTTTTGTTGTTTATTTAAAGTCTCTGTCGGCCAGAAAACTAACTAATCACTCAGCTCTTTAAGATTAATTAACTAAGACGCCAATTTAAAGTTAAAGAGCTGAAAACAAAAACAGAAACGATGATGTTCAGCTGATGCCAAAGCCTCTTCAGTTCTTCAAAGCTGCAGAATTTCTAATTTCCTGTTATAAAAAGACATCTCACAGAGATTTCACATTTTAATGAAGGTACCTGAGTGGCCCTGATACTGCAGGGCTTTTCTTTCATTTGATTACAGCCCTCTAAACCTCTCTTAAATGAGAGTTTCTCTGTGCAGCAGCAGCTACAAAAATGCTTCCCCTCTGCAGAATTTATTGCCCAGTGTCTGCCTCCTGCTGCCCTGCACAGCAGAGAGCAGGCTGTATATTTCACAGCACTAAAACCAGGATTTGAAAAATCAAGAACTGCATCAATACATCTTATAATTTAGATTTTTTTCTCTCTCATATAATGTTGACTACATAAGCCAAATTCTATATCAAAAAATCTCGACCTTTTCCTTCACAATCAGCAGTTTTTAATTTCTATCAATTGTTTTCTTTTCCTTTTTTTTTCGGAGAATAAACAGGAGTGTATTGAGGATAATAATTGTGCATGTGTGGGTTGTTACCTTGAGCATCCTGATCTCCCTCAGTGCAATCTTTTTGATGATGGGATCGTCCTCGGACTCCACAAACTTCTTGATGGCGACAATCTGCCCCGTGTCTTTGTTTCTGCACTTGAAGACGACGCCGTAGGAGCCCTCTCCGATCTTTCCAATCTTCTCGTACTTCTCCATCCTCAGCGGGGGACCGGAGCTCGTCCGAGGGTAAAAACACTTTTCCAAGAGGGCAGCACCGTCTCTGCTGCCTATTAAAAAAGGAGAGAGGAGACACAGGAGGGGGTTCACACCGGGGACACGGAGAAGAAGAGAGAGGGGGAGTTTGACCAACTGTTGCTCTTATGAATAGTTCATCCAATTAAATTTTAAGGATCAAAAATGGATGAAAACCAGGTGATATGAAGGTTGGGTCTTCTCAGAAATAAGACAATAATGCTTTTATAATACACAGAACTGACTCAGGTTTGTCTTTGTGGCTGTATTTTGACAATTTTGCACAGAAATGTTATGCACAATTATCTGAATATACTGAAAGAGTTTGCAAAACTTTTACAAGACCGAGCAATACAATACCTGCGTCCGAGCTCAGATTGGGTTCAACCTCATGAAGGTGGGGACCTAAATGTTAAGATAACCTCTAAAACTGCCTCCAAAAGATAGATTTAATTGCTTGGAGGCAACATTACACCTGTCTCCCAACAGTTTGGTTGCGTAACGAAAACATTTGCAATGCAAAGTATATTAGGTCATTTCCCTGAGGGGGACACAGAGCGAAAACAAACAACACAGAGTGAACAGCCAGGGGGATGAAATCAAAGTGCTGCACTTATAAATAGGCCAACAAGGAAAAGGTAAATAAATGTCAAAAAAAAGGCAAAATGAACAGCTGAGGCTTCATGTTTATAACTGATGCTGAGGGATGATAAAATAGTTCCTATCATCCTAAAGTCTGAGTAAAGTTGTCCCATGAAACCAGCTGCTCATTAAGTAAACACATTTCAATATTTCTAGAAGTATTTAGGTGAAAACACTTCCTGTTAGACACTGAATTAAACGTTTAAACTTACCTTCAGGGAAAACGTTCGCAGGTGTCTCTCAGGCAGAAACACAGAGGCGTTTGTTCTTCCACACACATCGACCAGTGAGGTGGACGAGCCCGGCTCAACTGTCCCCGCAGATCCAAGGGTGTCCTGCTTTAAAGACAGAGTACACCCTGACATCCCGGCCTGCCTTTCAAAATAAAACACAGAGTCAGCACACGTCACTTCTTTCAGTAAAGCAGTAAAACCCCAAACACAGTGACTCTCAATGCTCGTAGGCAATTTACTATCAAATGTTTTTTCTTGTTTTGTACAACCCAATTTATTTATCTAAATAAATAGATTAAATACAGTACAAACACGTGGAGTTCAACAGCAGAGTTCAGAAACCCTAAATTACCTGTGTAGATCATAGTAATATCCATATTTACCGTCTGAATCTTCATGAAATAAGTTGATATTAATGATGATGACACTAGTACTACACAAACATAACTAGAACAGTATATTATAAACATAAAGCACCTTTATAACCACTTTAAAAGCAGCCTCATTCTGAGCACACAGCCACAAGTTCTGATCACATTTCTGATCCTGGTTCAAACATGATACTGACATATATTTACTTAGGCTCAAACATGATAACACATATATATTTTACCTTTCCTCTACTTATTTTTAAAGTCTAAATTAATATATTTTACCGGAGTGTGTTTCGTGTATTTCTGTAATAAGATAAGCAACTGTTAAAATGGTTAAAGCTGATAGAATCAGAGTCTGCGCTTTCTCTAGTTTGTCAGGTCCAAGTGAAGATGTAACTGGAAGAAAATCCCAAATTACATAACTGCTTTGTTAAGGAGCTCCAGTGATTTACGTTGAAAAATCAAAAATAAAAGACACATTGTAAGAAAAATAGAAAACAGATGGCAACACAAAGACAGAAGAGGCAGCAAAAATTAGCTACTAAAAGAAAAAACTTAATAGTTTAACTTTTCGATCACCTGTTTTTATGAATCAGCTGGTGCCTTCATGTCAGCAAAACTAGCTGTAGTCTTATTCTGAAGGTAAAGTCATCTGACTTCCTGTACTATCCGCTGACTCTCTGTTGTCAACTTGACACATTTCTCCCTTTTCCACCACAGTCCCCATAGGAACTACTGACTCCACCTACAGAAAAAAGAGAAGACGACTCCTGAGGGGTTTTTGTAGATTAGTAAATGTTCACACTTGACAGACTGAGTGTCTGAAATGTGTGAAAATTAAAGATGCAGGTAAACCACAGTCAGTAAACGTCAGAGAAAACACCCACACAGGTGCACAAACTCAATCTGTTTAATCCCATTCTTAAAAGACCTAAAGTCTCACACACCTGACACCAGGTTGAGTTGGTGGTTAAATGAGTTTGTTAGTGATTGTGCTGAAGATTTGATCATTTTAGGATTTATTTCTTTACGTTTCCAGTGGCATTCAAAACAACCACATCCCCCAATCCACATCCGTCTGACATCATTCCACATGTGGCAGTAAACTACGGGAAAACTGAACCCTGATGTGTCGCCCTGTCGCACAGAGACCAATTAGTGTAGTCTTGTGAAGTCAGAGCGATGGCAAGACTAAATAGGGAAATAATGGAAATTAATACTCAACTTGTCTCTCCCCTTCCTCCCATTAGAGACGCATCATCAGCGAGGAGTGACGCGGCGCCTCATCAGCTCACAAACACAAAAATAAACCCGAGTCCATTCATGTTCTCTTGTTAACAGCGTTTTTTTTTTATTACAAAAACAGCATACATTAAACATTTTGCGAAGGGAATGCAAAGATGTTAACAAAACCTAGCATTGTCCCTCATTTTGTCATTTTATTTTAAATTAAAAAATGTACAAAAGTGCTTACATGGTGCAAATAATGAGAAGTAAAAGGTCTATAAAAGAAGAGGGTAAAGAAAAAAATGTACATTATATCCAACTTCTAAAAATGCAGCAGAGCAGGAGAGATGCGACTATATTACATAGCTGTAAAAATAACCAAAAGCTGCTCAGGAACTGTTTACTAGGTAGTTAATCCTCACACAGCAGGACTGCTGTCACTGTCTGTAAATCCAACATACCCTATTACTTAACATGAGGTTAATAAATATTGCTTAAATAACCCACATGGCTCATGGGTTCCTGTTTAATTTGATCTATTAGTTTGACTACAAAGTTGTAAAATCTCTTTTCAAGCCTAATAACGTTTGCCACTGGCAGTGATTATGTGTGACATGTTACAGACAATTACACAATAAATCTCCCATTGTTTGCTAATACAATCACAAATTCTTGTGAATCTTAATGGCACTTTTGTCAATAATACCTCTAGATAACGTGTTTGTAACCCAGTCCACAGTACAGAAAAGTGAGAGAAATGCTAGGTAACATTGTTCATTTGAGCTTTTATTATTTCTCATAAGTTTCCTCGTCGCTTGTGATGAGCGGAGCTACAGCGAACGTGTTTGCTGGTGTAAGGCTACTCATGAATCCAGTCTGAAGACGCTCCGCTTTTACTGACCTGTCAATCCCGCAATCAGTAACAAAAGCTCCCAATATCTGTTTGAAACCAGTTTCTCATGACACTGAACCCTAGGCGAAAGTCTGGAGTTTTCTCCCAAAACTGAGGCATCTTATCCACTTTCCTAAGACCTGTCCAGTCTCTGGCAGAAGATCAGTAACTGTTCTCATGACCTGCTAAGATGTAGAGGTTGCTCAGGGCCGTGGGGTTGTCTGTGGGTCGACTCTCCAAAACCACCACCCTGCAAAACAAACACAGGAGACGAGAGACATTACATGAAGGTGGCCATGCTACACCGTGAAGCCAAAGCTGAAGAAACTGGCTGCACCTTGAGAAAACTTCAATGTCAATCTGGCAACTTTAAAACTGAACTCAGCCACAAGGAAAGCTGCTATTTTCAAAGACGTCATTCAAAAGATGTCATATAGATAGCATGCTAATTAAAGGAACACTTTCTGACGGAGCCATGCTAACAGTTTCCCCTCTGACTCCATGCTAAGCTAAGCCAATCTTCTCCTAGGTTTAGCTCCATTTTTAAGAAACAGACAAGAGAGTAGTAAACTCTTAAAGCGTTCTGTCAAAATGATGGATTATTCCTTTAACTCTGATGAGTTTTCAAAACCATTCAATGACTGAATTCTCTTTTCTCCCTCCAGACAGCCACCGGTTTCAGTTCATGGCTGTATAGTTTGCAAATAAAACTTAAGAACATTGACCTTAAAACATTTGCTTTACTTTGCAAAGTGTGAATTCTGTGTATTTTACAGTTACGAGGCTTAAAGACTTTACTGACTGGATAACACAACAAATCTCTCTTCTCCAGGACGAACACCTTGACAAAATGTTAGGAAACAACATTAAGTCGGTCGGTTAACTTCTGCCACCAGCAGAGACGTGTAGCTCATTGTTAGGGTGATTGATAGGAAACTTGCTAATAATTTAACTGCAACGACAACGACAAGACTCGTAGCATCATGTTAACGGTATCAGCCTGCTCAGAGGACAGTGCGGTGACAGAGCCGTGCATGTTAAATGGCACGTTAAGCGTCAGTCAGATGACAGCTCGATCGGGACGGCAGCGGGTGCATCTTCAGATGCCGTTTGTCTCGTGGCTGTGACAGGTGAGCGGGGACGCTACAGTCCATACTGTCTGTTCCATCAGATGAAATTACAGAGGCATGGAGAGACACTCAAACCAGGCTGGCAGTGTCTGGGCAGCGGTGAATAAAACATGGGAGAGGGGGGCTGGGCAGAGAGAGGCCTCGCTCCGGTGCCACAGGCGGGGCGGCTCCATCAGGAGGCATCACCAGCTGAGCGCCGCTGCTGGGAGAGTCTCCTGAACTGAGCATGCTGTGTGAGTGTGTGTGTGTGTGTGTGCATGAGAGAGCTAAATCACCTCCTGCTGTGTCTGCAGTTGAAACCAATCATCACGACATCAGTCTAGAGTTGAAGCGATTAATCGATTAGTCGACTGACTGAAAATTAACTTTCAGCTTCATTTATAATCAATAAATCATCAATTTACTGTTTCTCTCTGTTTTATATCATTGTGCATTGAATATCTTTAGGTTTTCACTTGTTGGATCATTTCACCTCAGGTTCTTGCAAATCATGATGAGCATTTGTTCCACTACTTTTTGACATTTCACAGACTAATTGTTCCCTGCAGCCCAGTGTCAGTCTGTGCAGGAGTGAAGCTGTTGCACTCGCTGCATTAACTGCACAGTTTTAATCATAATATGTAACAACTGTGTCATTATCTCTTTTCCTAGGTGACTTTGTTATAGTGCTGAAATGATTAGTCGAATTGTCGAATGACAGAATCTACAACTATTCTGGAAAATTACTGAAACTAAAACTAACACTCAACATTATCTTGCTCTGGCTTCTCCAGAGTGAAGATCTGCTGCTTTTCTTCATCTTATGATCGTAAACTCATTAAGTTTGGGTTTAAAAAAAAAAAAAAAAAATCTGAAGGCATCACATTGGACTTGAGGTAATTATGATGTCATTTTTCAATATCTGACATCTTATGGACAAATGATTATTGGATTAATCTGAAAAAACAAACAAACTGCATATTACTCAGTAACTGCTCAAGTAATGTAACAAGCAAAGATGCCGAACACTGTCTGGTTCCAGCTCTGAAAATATGATTATTTGCTGCTTTTCACTGTTTTATATAATTTGAACTGGAATATCTTCTGCATTTTGAACTGTGGATAAAATAACCAACGTCAAGACAGATAAGATCGGGCTCTCACAACCTACGAGCATTTTTATAAATCCACAGTGACACTACACAGAGAACTGCTTGAGCAATGACACATTGCAGTTTTGTTGTATTTTATCAATGCTCTGCCTTCATGTCACTGGCACCAGATCTACTGAGGCAACAAGCATCAGACAGAGAGAGAGAGAGAGAGAGAGAGAGAGAGAGAGAGGGTATTCAAGGTTAATGTCACAGGTGCATTCAGGGACAGTCAGTAAGGGTCAGATCCATCAGAGAGGAAGATGCAGGGGCAGAAACAGATTGAGACAATTAACTTCAGCTAAGATGAAAACAGAGTGAGGCGAGAAAAACATGGCCGCAGGTCAGGCGGAGACACCAGCACAGTGAGAGATCTGTCAGAGGCAGCAGGAGGTGAGCATGTTGTTTACTGGTTTCCAGGTAATAGGAAAACACAAACACCTGAGGGAGGACAGCCGTAATCATGAGTGTGTGGTTTTATGGAAATAATGGGGCTGATAAATTATACCATCAGGAATAAACAAGAAAAGTGAGGGGGGTAAAAAGAAATTCAAAATGTAATACAATTTGGTTGTTCTTTTCTTCCTTGGTTTATACTGATCATGAAAATATTTTGTGGATATATTTTTTCATTTAAGTCCTCTTCAGATTTTTGCGGTAGGTGCTCCTCCACTCGTTGCTCTTGATCACTCATGTGCACTGATGCAGCTGCAGATGGAAATAATCTCTGTACCCACCTGTCAGACCCGAGGAGACGGAAGACTCTGCTCGGATCAGAAATCTCCTGGGTCACCTACGGATGAGAAAACATATATCTGTATATCTGAAGTACTGAAGTACATGTGGTGCTGAAAATCAAGAATAGTCAAGTATCATTATACTTGTGCCTAGTATTACAATTTCACAATTCTTTCAACAAATATCCTGAGAGCAGCCTGTAAGGAATCAAATCCTGGAGCTGCTCAAACTGAAAGACAGCTGCATGTGAAATGGCACCAGCACAGTGTCTGCCCAGCATCATTGCTATGCAGTGTGCTACCAGCTAGGTTGTATAAAGGAGTGAGAGTATGTGAGGTGTTAGTGGAGGTGTTCAGTATTTGAAACATTTAATCTGTCTTTTTGACCTTCTAAATCACACATATACAGTATAACTACATTTGATGATTTCGACGTTTAACTGATCATGATTGAAACAAAAAAAAAACAAATATTACTGATACAAACCTACTATGACATCACAAAACATTAACATAGGTTTATCGGTTGTTCAGTGTCAGTCTGTGAATTAAACACTTCTCAGAATCAGAAAGTGTCTGTCCTGTGTTTTATTTTTGGTGCTGGGACGACTGTTTACATTTGGATCACGTATTGTGCCTTTAACAACAAACTCTTCATGTTTTTTGAACAGACTGTAGGTAACTGAGTGCTGTCTCTAGGGACTCTGTGTCACTGTGTACAATCCCGAGGCTTACCTGCTCTAGTCACAAGATGTAGCCTGACACTTTGCAGTGAAAAGACAAGGGCCCCTTCAAAACACACTCCCATGTGTTGACATGACATGAAAACTTGTCGACAGATGCGAGATAGTCGGCCGGTGACACCTGCTAGGTGTAAGTCCTTGGCCTTGGGAGAGATCTGATCTGTTTAAGTCTAAACGAGAACAAGGTCTCGGGTGTTCAGGGGAGCACCCACTGAGGCGAGCACGGATCAATAGACCTGCCCCCTTGAATGCCTTCGCTTTTGAGAGGAATCATAACGAGACAAAGGCTGAATTATTTAGTGCTGCTCCCTGTTGTGTGACGGGTTTCGTTTATGATTGAGCATGAATTTTGCATGGCCACTGACATTTCAAAAATCCATGCTATGGGAGAACTGTCAAGCCGGGCTGGGCGCGGACTCGGCTAACGGACCCGTTTCATCCGAGTGCCGCACGACCACGTCTGACACGGCGAGCTTTCAAAAAGGCGGCCCCTATCGCCATATCACTTTTCATAAAAACAGAATGCTTCACCTCCCCGCGATCTCTTGAACTTTTATTGTGCTGCTGAGCGCGACTCGTGATCAGGTTAACATGGAATCCCTCCGTGAAAGGTGGACAAATTCATTACCTCGGCCTCACACAAAGACACTTTGTCTGACTCCACCTGAGGGCTTATCTCCCGGGATCACCTACAGCATGTAGCCACGCATATAAACGGACGGCACTCAGGGTCTTTGTTGACCAGAGGCAGAGGTGTTTGTTCATGTGTAGAACAAAGACGCTTCAATTCATGGAGGTGACACAAACTGCATTCAGAGTTTCTATTCTGTAGCCACCCATCAAAACTGATAAAAGCACAAAATAATGTTTTATGTGGAGTTGCTCTTTGATCCTCACACCATCATTACCTGAGGAGATCCAAAGTGTGATGTTTGAATGTAACATTTACAACCAGTATTGGAGTACCAGAGATTTCACCCAGGTGTAGCGGTTATGATGTATTTTACCTCATTGGACTTGAAGCTCTTTCCCTGCATGCCGTGTTTCCAGAAAGCCAGGACACTGTCCTGAAGGCACACTGTTACAACGGAGAGGGAAGAGGCCACATGTTAGTGCACACGGAAATCAAACAGCAGCCAATGCAGCATGGCCAGCTTGATTAAGGAGAACAACAAGTATGTGTGAGATGCAATTCAGTTTGATTTTTGCAAAAAACACTTTCAAAAAACAAATATGCATCGTTGCTGGATATATGTTATATACCCCCTTTAAATAAGGGATTTAAGTTCTCACACTGACATAAACCTCATGTGCTCCTGTACTTACCAACAGATCCGATGCAGAAGTCAAAGCTGAGCTCAGATGCCAGCTTCTTGTTGGACTTCAGTCTGCCCTGGAGATTAACAATCTTCAAATTTTCTGGGGAATAAAATAACAAAAGGCTGTTTAGAATAAACAAACTTGTTTCTTCAAAGAATGTTTGTAGAGATTTTACAGGTCGAAACTATTAAAAAGAGAATTCACGTACGGTCCAAACACACCAACACTGTGTCTCTCTCCAGCTGGGTGACATGGATTGCATCCACCTGCTGATTATCTGTGGAAAGGAGAGGTAACAGTAACAATCCTGTTCTCTAACATCCCAGGCAACGTACAGACAGAAAGTCACATCATAATATGTTGCCTGTTTGTTCAAATTGTACAAAAGCCATCAAAGAGGATGATGTATATCGCACAGCATCAAAGACACAACCACAACAAGAGGCTGATGCTTTGTACACTATTGGGGTTTCTGTGAATAGAGGAACTGGTTTCTGAAGAAGCCATCATTCAACCACTTCCTGACACAACAATTTGTTGTATTGGTCCCGTGGTATTCACCTCTACACCACAGTACATTTACATGTTTGACTTACTTGTTCCTATCTCTGTGAACCAGGAGGAGCAGGAGTTCAGGTTGATAGTCTCAAAGCGGACCACCTGGCCCGGCTCTGTGCCCTGGCTGATGGCCACACACACCAGAGGATACTCCTGCTCTGGGACCACCAGCATCTCAAACACTTTCAGCGGGCTGGGAAGAGGGAAGTCAAAATGCTGCAGCAGGAAGAGGGAGTCGACACAGTGGTTACTGTCAGTGTTTTCTGATTATTAATAAAGTTTTGAATTATTTTCGTAGTGTGAAGCTAGAGACATTTTGCTACCGGTGCAGTAGTGTTGTGCTTATAAATATTCCCTGGGAACATAGACAACTTGATTTTAAAAGCAAAGGGGTGATGGATAGTTTATTCAAGTTTCCCTGCACTGCTAGATTTCAAAATAAAATTACAGACATGCTACTTGGAGAAATATTGTAGGATAGTTATTCAGAATAAAAAAATAATTCTACAAGGGAAATTTGTGGGGACAAAGTAATGTTTCAGACAAGAAAGAAAGAAGTGAACTGACCTTGATCAGCATGAACCTCTGCATGGGCTCATACCACTGCAATAGGACAATCCCAGACTGCAGAGCTCCACACAGATACTTGTGGCCTGTGTACGGGTTTCTCACTGTGAAACAGAGAGGAAAAGAGCGTCAACAAGTGCAGCTAGCCTGAGCTGTGTCCATCCTCTATAACAGTTTATATCAGGAGACTGGAGAAACTCAGTCATGAAAAATCTGAAAAATTCTGTTTATTCAACATTTCAAATTAAGTGCATAATATGAGTCATAACGGTTGACGGAACAAAAATGGAGGATGTGACTATAAGGAGATGTTTCTTGTTTAATATGATGAAAGGGAGAGGAAATAAAACTAAGTGGTTGGGAGGGGAGGGTCACTCACCAATGCAGCACTTGTGACAGCCCTTTGTGTCAGGGATCTTAGTCGTCAAGGCAAACCTCCTTAAAAAGAGAAAACAGTCATGTCAGTCTTGACCACAGTCTAAAAGAGCCAATGACGTCTAAAATTTGGGAAGTTGGCCAGTGGTTCTCCTTTTTCTCTACCGCTGCAGTCGTTTGTCATGATGGCAGAACAAAAAAGACTGCACAGCATGAGTGTAACAACATGCTTCAAGTTAGAAAAGCAGAGTTATCACCTTATCACAGAAGTGACAGGACTGTTGCTGAAGAGTGTGGTTAAGAGAATGTTATATGTGAGACAAGATTCAGAGGAAAATATGCGATGATCTCACCTGGGTAAAATTTTGTCTGGGAAGCGATGAGTCTGGAACTGAGCAGCCAGGCCGGGCTTCTTCAGCTGCTCAAACAGCCCGATGAGATTGTGGGAATACAGCTGGAAGGTTTTCCCTAAAGCAAAATACAGTATATTCAATCATGAGCGAGTAGCATATCAGTAATCGAAGCCAAGAGTTAAAATGTACTCATCGTAAATATGACAGACAAGGACTGAGTTAACGTTTTCTTCACATTATGAACATCATTTTCTCAACACATCCTGTATCCCATGAAGCAGCTTTCCCATGTAGAAAGGTTAGATGTGAACAGAAGAAAAAAAAAAAAGGAAAAAAAAAAAAAGAAGTGTGGTGATGATGATGTGAAGCATGATTACCTTCTGATGAAGCCAGTTAGTAGAATATCAAATCAAGCCAGGCGAGAGGAGGATGGACAGTGTCCAAGGGAAGAGGAGAAGAGAACAGGGGTTTAGTATACCAAGGGGCAAACTGCTGAAGGTAAAACCGAAAGTGGACCTCGCACTTTGTAATCGCATCCTCTCAACTGTTAAACTGAGAAAAGGTTTCTGTTCTTACGACAGCCAACTGAAGACAGTTTGGTTTCCAATGATAGATGATCTGAGTTTTCTCACAACAAACAGCATTTCTGTTCTATTGTATGAAACAAACTACACCTGCTTTTGCAGCTGTTATACACTGCAAACTAAAAAAGATCAATATAAAAGTGGTTCCTCTGCAGAGGAACAGGCTGTAAAGTCAGATGCGTCACTCATGAGTCACTGTGCTACACGGTTCTTATAGAGGCTTTCTGATGGCAAATAAAAGAAACTGTTATTTTAGGGCTGCAGATATGGAAGGACTGTGTTGCCTTCAGGGGCAGTCAGATAACACAGGACAAAGAAGCAGCAGGTTATGACAGTGGCCAGTGAAGCAGGACGCTGTGATAAGTCCATCACTTACCAGATAAAGACATCAGGTTGTTGTTGATAACGTACAGCCACGTACACTTCCTTGGGAAGAGCTAAACAGGGAGTTAAACAAAGATGGCACAATCACTATATAGCTGCACTTTAGTTCTCAATGGAGGGAGTAAAAGGGGCTGAAAGAACATGAATTTGTCAATTAAATCTCTGCTGAACCCCTCCCCTGAATTGTCCAATAATAGCTTAGCAACCGTAACCAGGCACAGCAGGTCTGACAAGCCTTAGATTTCTGCACATGATGCAAAGGAGCTCTAATAAGAGTGATTACCTGTATCCAAAGAGTCTGGAGGGTTGTATATTTGTTTTCAAACATTTCTAAAACCAAAAATGGGATAAAACTCTCACTGTGTGTAAGCCAGTCCTGGATGCTATCAGAGTTTAGGGTAATGCTCGCAGCTCTCACCCGCTCTTTACTGCATCTTGGGAAGTTTACACTCCAGCAACATTACCCGACACTGGGTTATGTCTGCTAAACATCCTGGTTAGTCCTCATCCTAAAAGTCTTTTCTCTTGTTAACGTTAAAGGTGAAACATAGTGTTTGAAAATACAAACAAATATAGAAGCTAAGCAGCCAACAAGGTTATGTTACAACGAAATCAGAGTCTGATCTTACCCTTCACACTCCTTGTCACATTTATACTACTGGCACTACAAGAAAAATGCTGTTTCTTTATTTAGTTACATGTAATTTCCATGGATCATTAACTGGTGATCCAGTTAATTTTTAGTCTGGGACACGGAGCTCTAGTCTCAGGCTTTTGGCAATATAATGCGCGTAACCAGATTACTGTATTAAAACGACTCGGACGGAAACATTAAGGTCAGCCGGAGACAGTTTTTCCATCCAACTCATGGAGCCAAAGTTAACTTAATTAGAAGCCTAGTTACGGCTGACGGTTCAACCGGCAAATTTGTTGGTTGTTGGCTAGAGTTGAGAAGTCTGCTGCTTTTGTCGACCTCCGTCTGAAATCAACTACAGATTACTTCCAATAATTTCTAAAAGTTTTGAGTCGAAAATCTGCCACTTTTACAGTTATAAACCACATACGTGTTGTGCCTGAATGGAAAGCTTGGTGGGGCAAGGGTTAGCTAACAATATATGTTTATATATCTGCTGTTACCTGCTCCATTGTGGCTTCATGCAGCTCATTAAGATTCAGCGTATAGATGCCATCCTCTGTCCCAAAGATTAGGTACTGATCTAGAAGAGAAAAAAGATGTATTGGCTTTGATAGAACATGTTGATTCTGCCTGTTTGTTGATGGTGTTTGTTGCATGAGACTGTACCTTTGGTGTCTGGATGAATCCATGATGTGGCACAGTTTATCTTCAGTGGACAGCCGTCAAACACTTTAGAGAAACAGGCTCCCATCTGCAACAAAAAGCAACACAGCTCAAAACCGGCAGGCTCTGGATCAGTGAAGCGCTAAAATGTCAGCCAGGGTTTAATGAGCTGGAGCTGGAGCTGGAGCTGGAGCTGAAGCTGGAGCTGGAGCAGATCAGAGGCAACCGCAAAGCAGAAAGCTCTGTGGACCCCAAATATCTACAGAATGTACAGCAGCATTTCTGACAAGAATTTAATAACAGTGCTCATGAAACCAGGCCAGCAGGGAGGAGTGAAGACTGTGAGGTACAATGCAGATTATTCACTCACCAGTACTTTCGGAGTGGGTGGCAGGCCGTTGATAGCTGGTTTCTAAGGAGGAGAAGAGGGAACAAAAAAAACCATGAGATAATGAAGTTTCACAACACAGAGAGACAACAACAATTACTTTAAATATAGCTGCCTAATTTAGCTTCAGCCTGAACAATGATGCAAACAACAAACAATACGGACAGTTTTTTCTATGTGTTCTGTCAAAGTCAATTAAACACGAGTGGATGCCAGATTCCCCTCTTTAATTATCAGTGTTTGGATCTTACAAAAGAAAACCATCATATTTGAGGTTTCTGTGAAACATCAGCCAGCTAGTTGGACACACTCCACATATAAAATATAGGTTCCAAGATCATAGATGACTTTTTCATCCTAAAACCCAATGAAAACAAAAATGAGAAGTGTGGTGGTCTTGACTTAAACCCATACTGTAATGTAATGTATTTGTGCAATATCTTTAAACTCACAGGGAATTCCTTTTTCTCTCTCCAGTGCTGCTGGTTGGGTGGCGGCTTGGGACTGCCTCCATTCACACTGCCATCCGAATCATTGTCTGTCACAAGAGAGCGGGCAGATGGAAAATTACATCTGTAGCACAGCTGTTAATCATACTGTCAGACACACGGGATCTATATCCAAAGATCAGACACATTTGCATCAGGCCGTCTTACCTTTACATTTAGATTTATTGAGAGCTTGTAAAAATAAATAAAAAAATAAATAAGTGCACATTTAGAGACATGCTGGATTTAAGAGGACAGACACCAATGGAAGCCATATGAACAGCTCACTGCACAGAACTGTAGGTAAATTCCAGTTAGACAAGAAAAGCAGAGACTCACCAGGATCAGAGGCGTGAGACAAAAGGCCGGGGCTGCTGACGCTGGCGGAGAGGAAATCTGGAGACGAGTGCTCCACCTTGTTGCCCTGCTCAGGTGTGCTCTGTCTGCGAGCCACCTGGTTCGGCCCGTTCTCTGAGTTCGGAAACCTCCGCACTGTCAGAGACCTCTCTTCGTTAAGGCCGAGCTCCTCTGATGAACTGTTTAATCGTGGCTGAAAATAAGGGAAAAACAGTTTGGTCTTCATTCAAAGAAGCACTCTGCAGTGGATACACTTAGCATTGATGGTAATTACAAAAAACAAAAAATGCAAATAGCGAAAAACATTTTATAGTTTCTCACCTTTGGGGGCAGAGGAGGAGGAACCCCTGGTTTGAGAGTTGACCTGAAATGGAGGCATTTTTTTTTTTTTTTTTTTTTTTTTTAGAAAGACAGCAAAGAATGGTTTGGTGTGTTTATGATGAAATTTAATCTATTAACGTCACTCACAGCTCGAATTCTTCAAAGGCGTCTTCAAGATGGGCGATGTGTCCCCTGCAGGACACAAACAAAATAATGAGTGTGGAAAATAAGACCCATCAGAGCTCAGGGCGGGTGTTAGTGGTTAAAATGTTTATGTAAAATCCCTCCTTAGAGATAAAGAGAGCATGACCCTGAGGAGAAGAAGACGGGTGTATTTGTTCTATTGCTGAACCCTAAGTGAACTTCATGGGATGGAAACCACAAAACATATTGTTTATCTTAATACAAGGTTCATCGTCACTAACTATGTTTACTTTGACATTAGCTTGAAAAATTAACACTGGGATCAAAACCAAGGTCCGCGGACAACTTTCTACATCACACTGTCCTACCTGCCGTCCTACCTCAGACTCGTGTGTGCAGCGGTATGCAAAATTTGGATCTACAGCTACAGCTACACATGGGGAATGGAGGGTGGTGATTTGTGAACACTGTGGGTGCAAAAACCTCAATGCAAAAATGGTGGCGACCAAGCTAGGGGGGTCGGGTGGATGATGTATAACACTACTACAGCACACACAATGTTAGTGTTACCGTTGGAACAATTGATCCTCAACGCTTTTGAGAAGGCTCCTGCGCGGGACAAGACGAGAGAGAAGCCGACAGCCAGAAGGGGACAGAGAGAAGTGGAAGGAGAAAAACAGTCAAAGCACATGGACAAGTGAGAAGGAGCTTAAGAGCCAAAGTGACATTTTAGACTGCAGATGAGGGAGAGTGAGTTCATGCACAGACACAGGTTAGATCTAGTGAGTAAGCAGGTTAATGTGAGAGACAGTGAGGAGCATCCATAAGAAAATCTGTTTACAATCAGTGTCAACAATGGATATAAGATTACAGAACATAATGGCTAACTAGCAGAAAGCTAATATGCCATTCTTTTCATTTGAAACTCTTGCTTTCTTAAAGTATACTTTGTCACTCAACTCTATCGACCAATCATATTGAGGATCCCTGAATTTTGTGTTTTTAAATAGGTCAAATAAATAAAGACACAAAACTTTAACCACGTTTGTCTCTGGATGAACCTCCAGAGACGCATCCATCTAATAAATAAGCCAGGTGAAGAGGGAAAGTGAAACACACACACACACAGAGAGAGAGAGAACAGGGGGGTAAATAGGAGCAGTTCCCATGACAACAGTTTCCATGGATTACCTGGTTGTTATTCCTCCCTCAGCAAAGGGACTCCAGGGGGAAGGGAAGTCATTATCTTTACTCACATCCTGTGGAAAGGCACACATGCACAAAAATAGAAATTTTTAAAATACCTGCATTCTGTTATTTGTGAGTATATATTTTTTGTTTTCGTACATGCACATAAACTCAACTGATGCCAAACAGAAACAGAAAGTAGTACTTGAATATTAGTATTGACGAAAGTGAAGATGATTATCACCATTTCAGAATGAGCCTCAGTTTCCTTCCGGAGTGGTGGTTCAAACTGGAGCTTGTCGACTGCGAATGACAAAAATTGTGTTCAGTCTTTTTTTTTTTTTTTCCTTTCCCTTACACACATCTTTGGCACTAGAGGGCATCAGTATCCACACTTCAAGACACACAAAGCCTTGGGAGTAGTACCAGGAACCTTGGAAAACACTCTCAGTCCATTCTTAGCATATAATCACGTGTAAGAATTAACCAAGAGCAGATCAACTGCTTCCATTGCAACATACCTGTCAAAACACCACAAGGGCCCTTCACTGACTTATTGTACTACTATGTGAATGTTTGGTCTGGAGCCTCAAGACGAGTCTGTCCCCAAAGGCAAACACGGATTACAAGTGACACTGACCAGATCTCTTCATGTTGGGGAAATATTGGTAAGAGAGAAAGAAGTACAAATAAACCATGGAGCAGATTCCTCTTAGTTTAGGTTTGAGGTCACATTCTGTCAAACTGTTGATCCAATAGAGGAGACTGGTGTGGTGTCCAATATAAACATGATGTGATACTGCTGCAATTATGAAGGCGAAAGAAATCAACCAACCTGCCAATAAATACTACCACATAATCAGCTTCTCATTAACAAAGAAACTTTGTATTCAAGAATTCAGACCACTTTTTTTTCAGTGTGTTTTTCTACTTGAGGTAGAGCTGATAATGTGGTGCTGCAGTTATTTAAAACACTGATAACAATGAGGAGGTGAGTCACACTCTCACACACACACACACACACACACACACACACACACACACACACACACACACACACACACACACACTGAACTAACCTTCAGGAAAACATTTGAGAAGGTGAGGTTGAGGAATCAGGTGAGACGAACGAGTCGAACTGAGCTTCCTTGTTAGGATCTGATTAGTCATCTTATGTTTATTTTTTATTTCAGACACTGACAGGGACAAAAATGTCACAATGACCAAATTATTCAACCTTATTCAAGCTAAAGCCACAGTAAGCAGCCAACCCATGCACAGGAACTCACCTTATTAGTGCCACTTAAGTCTCAAACAAAATGTTCTGTTGTGTGCTACAACATTATCCTATTTCTCAGGAAGTCGTAGGAGTGAGCTAGGGATTTATACAAACACACACTGTCTCACTACACTGTCACTAACCTGCATCCCCCCTGTGTCCCTCAGTGAAGCTAGGACTTGAGCATGGCCCTCCTTGGTGTGTCCCATTGTTTGCTTCATGTAGGAGGGAAAGTCAGACGCAATTGTGAGAAATATAGATGAAACCAAACAGGAGGTACAAACGATCACAGTACAAACAAGCACAAAAACACAATGAGGCACAGTACGTATCACTACAAATACGTATACGGACACACTTCACCACCGCACTGTTACTACAACTACCTAGAATGAAGATATGACAAGTTCTGTACAACAACCGAAGACGACACAAACACACAACAACTTCCCTGAAGGGTTGCACATTCTTAAATATGAATTTGAACAATCTATTAAGCTGCATCCTCTGCCAAATTCAGTCCCAACAACTGTTGACTGAAAACCAAATTCCTCAGGAAACCTCATTGACCCTTCAGACAAGCCATTTCACATTATTCTTTTAGTGAAAGATGAGGGACAGTTACTTGCTACTTTATGCTGCACAGAAGCATCATTAGCTCTACTACATCCATTTTCTCTACTGTGAATCCCCAGGCTATTTTTATACACACTACCACATGCTTCTGGAATAATGCCAGCCAGTGCTGCGGGATTAGTGGGATGACCCTTAGACAAGCCGCCGGACCTCTTTCAATCTAAACACCCAGGCTGACTGACACAACAACCAGTGACAGGACGGATTCATGGGAGGGGGTTGATCTTGGTGATGCGGTTTTGTGCTTTTTGTTCACTTACAGTTTATCTCTGAGCGCGTCCTCTCGGCTCTGGCTTGTTTATTGGTGGAGCGGATTGTGTGTCTGACTGCAGACAGGGGCTGAAACAAAGAGTGAATGAGATTGCAAGATAAGGAAATAAGTTTTAACTGCAGGAGCAGCACTTGATAAGACAAGTGAAGAGTCGGGTAAAGAGTCATCAAATGATTATGACACTGCCTTGAGTCATTTGGCACAATTATTAAATTTATCTTTTGAAATAATCTGCACAAACTAGATAAAGCAGATCCGAGAGCTACTTTCTGTGCTGCGTCTTTATGCATCATCACATTATTATGCATCCCAGTGGCTGTTTGTTTGCAACAAGCTCCATTGCTTGCAGTCAATAGCCCTCAGGGTGTTTTTCATTCATCGTGGCCAAGACAGTGCCACTGCTGTCAGGGTGAGAAAAGCACAATGGGCTTTTAAAAAGGCACTGGTACCACCTCTTTGGCTGCCACACAGATGTCATGTTGAGTCCCGTTTGAATAATAATGTCGAAGGGGAAGGGAAATTTCAGCAAAGCTCACCTTGCATGTTTAATATCCATGTTGCTGAAAAAACACGCTGTGGGAATATTTACAGTCGCTGCTGATAGCGAGTCAGTCAGTGTCTGTATGAAAAGCTGTTTTACTCAAATTTGACAGGCACTGTTTTGTTTTTGTTTTGTTTTTTGAACCAGTTTCTTGTTTTGTAACATTTTTTTGCAATTAAGCAGAAAAAAAACAACAAAAAAACAAAACAAAAGGACATTTGTTCTTGTTTCCAGGTAATTCCATTATTCTGAGGTATATGTGATGGAACCAGACATTACCTCGAGGTCATCATCGTCCACCTCACTGTAATGCTGGTGGTTGTCTGGGTTGTTCATCTTATCCAGGAGGTCGACAGCGAGCCTCCTTGTCAAACCCGTCTGGGCCACAAACACATGCTGCAAGAAACAAGAAAGGATTGCAAGTTATTGTAAACTGCTGCACAATTTGATAATAGTTTGTATCAGCAGTGTGACATCCCTAATCTGACATGCAAGATCCATGAAACTAGGTGAAGAGCCACAACCTCCCTGCAGAAAGAGAGATGTAAGTCCTAGTTTCACTGTTAGAGTAATTCAGACTGTCTGCATTAACTACGGGGCCAGAACTATCCTCAAGAGACATGAACTGTGAGAATGAGACTCCATGAGAACAGAAGTAGCTTTTAAGAAACAGAAGAAGTGTAGTTAGTATATGACTGAGGTCTGCAGATTAAAAACAGGTGCTAACTGGCCTTTTCCTTCCTCTTTAATGAGTTGAGGCACTTCAGCTATGATATAATTGAATAAATAAATAAGATATGTAGTTCCTGAACTTTGATCAACCGTTCAGGGCCAGAGACTGACCGTGAGCCAAACAGCTAGAAATTCAGCCAAACCACACAGAAGCTCATCAGGCCAACTGAGATCCTACTAGATTTGGTCAGAATGCAAACTTCTACTTGTGTGCTGTGCAGATTCAACAAGCAAAAAACACAGTTCTAACAGCAACTAAAAGTATAAAACACAAAAAGGGAAGAACACAGACATGGCTGAGACTTAACTAGCATTTTCTAACATTTAATGTAAATTCAACTCCAAATCTGCACTTCAATTAAGACAGTGATATGATTTAATATGTTTTTTTACCAATAGAAGTTTTTCCGCAGTGGGTCTCTTCTTTGGGTTCTTTGTCAGAGACACTTTGACAAAGTTATGGAAGGCGGTGGACCTGGGAGACAAGATGTTTTTGTCTTAATCCAATGATCATAACTGCTACTGTCTGAGACACAGTGAATATTCTGGGACTCTCACCATTTGTTTTTGTCTTTTAGTTTGGGAGGCTGGAAGCTACTCTTAGACATCAAAAACAAGGCCCTGGGGAAGACAAAGAAACAAGCATTAAACTGCTGGATTAGACTGAAACAGGGAAATATACTCAAAAAGGGGGACCAAAAGTTAGGGAATGGAAAGGCCTGCACTTCTTCTAAATATAAACTGTATTTTGAATGAAACAGGATGACCATTCAAGTAATCAAAAGACATGATGAAACATTAGAAGAACACAAAAGCAGGAAGCAGCCTAAGAAGCATTTGAGGAAGCTCTGACTGATCATTTTTGAGGAAAGTAAAACATACCTCATCGGGTGTAGGTCAAACATTGGAGGCTGAAGCTCGGCCAGCTCTATGGATGTGATGCCAACGGCCCAGATATCACACAGCTGGTTATAGCCGCCGTTCTTCTCCACCGCCGCCACTTCAGGAGCCATCCTGGATAAATGCAGGGCAAGGATTTAGTGACAACTCTCCAAAAATAAAAATGAAAGGCTGGTCTCCCTGAAGTGAAAACTAAAACTGATATTATTAATGAGATTCTCTGTTGATCTTTGTAGGAAAACTATGTTCACATTTCACTCTTCGACAGTGTGTTTTAGAGGTCAGGGTCAGTGACAGGACAGTGGCCCTGGGGCTGGTAAGGATTCAGTCACCTTCTCAAAAACACTTCAGCTGCTGTGGGAATTTGAACTTTCACCTTTCAGCTGAAGCATCTGTCTCACTGTTAGTACACTGTGTCACCACAAACTAGATCTGTTAGATACAATATGGCGATAGAGACAGATGATGACAGGAAAATGTTTTAGTATCTGATTAAAAGTATTGACTCAATGCTTCTTTGAATAAGACTAATTCCAAAAGGAAAAGGCATGCTTCCTGGATCTATTCAGCAAAGCTTGTTAAAGGCCTACAGGCTTATTTTATGAGGGTGACACACTCACCAATAAGGTGTTCCAATGAAGGACTTTCTTTTGGCAATGGTGGCTGTTATTTTGGCTGCAACTCCAAAGTCAGCTGTAACAAGGATTGACAGGGCTTTTCAGATTATGTAATCCACATACAACTCACAGCTACTGAGGAGTTCAAGTCCTTGAGAATTAAGAGAACTAAAGAGCAACTTACCTAACTTCACATCTCCGTTGTCGGTTAGAAGTATGTTGGCACCCTGTTAAGAAGTCCCATAAAAGTTTATTTTTTGTTTTTAGTTTAGAGAAAATACATTCAAAAGACCAAAGTAATATTTAAGTACCATGAGACTGACTGAGCAGGACTGATGTGTTGCAAAACTGGTTCATAAGAAAAGTGCCAATTATGTGTCAAGCTTTCTCAGTAACATCTGGTCTGGTCGAAACATTAACTGCTCAGACCTGTTACTGATCTGACTTCCAGTAAAGTTACACCAGCACAGCTTTTTGACAGTCCCACTGACGGTGTTTCTGTTGGCTGTGACTGACAGTCTCTCTGGTGGCATCCTGTAGTGAGAGTAGAGGAAACAGGAAGTGCTCACTCCGTAGAGCCGAGTAAAGATAATAGGTGCAGCCCTGACCTGCGATAACACATGAGACTGAGGCTCCAGCATGTGCGTAGGCAACCACGCAACTTCAGCTCAACCTCAGAACTGCAGTAACTAACACCACTGGTCACATGCTTCTGGGTGAGCACGGCCCCAGCTTATGCTTTTCCTGTGACTTCAGTTTACACCTCTGCAGCGCCACTAATTCAGAGAGACGTCGGGCCTCTGGACTGTTTCAGAGCCAACAGACGCATCAACATGACATTAATTGTTTCAAGGCTGTGCCACTGCTGCTCCTTTGTGTCAGCCTCACCCCTCCCCTTTTCCTTCTTTCTGCCTTTCTCCCAAATGTTCTGAGATTTTTTTGTTAAAGGCCCCATATTGTATAAAGTGAGATTCCCATGTCATTTTTGATTATAAAGCAGGTCTAAGTTATATAATAATATTGTGAAAGTATCAAAGCGCTCAGTCCACAGAGAAATACACACAGACTGTATTCAGTAACTTTGTGATGTCACAACAAAGCAGTCCCTGCTCTCAGCCATGCACCAAGCTCAGCCCACCGGATACCTTGAAGGATTTGGTTTCTCTGAGTATTTACCTGAAATCTGCTACATTTTTATTCGATCACTCAGTCAGCCAATCAGAAGAGAGGCTCAGAGCTTCTCTTCTGATTGGCTCACCGACCTGTTGTTGCTAGAGCTCCAGAGAGAGGCCTGAGAGAGGAGATGTAAAACTAGATTGATGGTTTTTGGGTCGTCTTATGGACATCAAAACTTCAAATAAAACACAGGAAAAGTGTAAAATATGGGACCTTTAATCCGTCTACGCAGGCATGAGGAAAAGTGTCCATGTGTGGTCGATTAAAATGGGCACGCCCTGGATAAAATGAAGGTTGAAAGAAAAGAAAACAAAATAGAAAAGATATGATACCTTGATGTCACGGTGCATCTTGCCCTTGGTGTGCAGATATCCCAAACCCTATAAAACAAAATAAATGTATTCAGTATGAATTTAAGTGAAATTACAAACTTTGAAATTCAAAACATTATTTACAAAATAAAGTTACCTGTATGGTCTCTCTGCAGACGTATGCTATCTGAAGCTCTGACAGAGGTCCCGTTACTATAACACACGGACAGAGATTGATTTTACATCTGCACAGTATTAAACACCATTTTATGACTTCATCTTAAAAATAAAACGCACCATGATAAATGTCCTGCAGAGATCCTCCACCACAGTACTCCATACATATCCAAAGCTTCTCTCGACTGAGGAAAGCAGAGAAGATTATGATGTTAGGAGCTGTTGGATTGCCAGTTTACTAGACAGATTTATACAGCTAAGTAGCTAGATATCTTGATAGCACAAAAGTTTGTCAAAGGTTTCTTACTGAACAAGTTGAGCTGTACAAATCATCCATCCTTCCTGAAATAACGTTACTAAGAAATTTCCCAACACATATTAATAAAAGAGAGTGGGGTGGGTAGAAAACCCATGTCGACCCTCTAACAAAAAGCTAAAAATAAGACTGGTGTAACCATGATAAAATTCCATGATTACAGCTGTGACAGTTGGCCAGCAGAGATGATGATGCCCCACATTCCCAATCACAACGGTGCTACTTTTCACATCTTTTAGCTGGATGTGGAAATTATTTTAGGTCAGGAAACCGGTCTGAAAGGAAACTCAAACTTCCCCGAATAAAGCTGCGGTTCTTCTAGTAGAATGGAACTACTTTATAGTAATTGATGCATGGTGGATTGCTCATTAAGGCTTTACAGTCACCATTTGTTCTCTGTGTGGCGAGACTATATACAACATACCTGCTGTGATAAGACATGCGTCTCTGTGGACAAGCAGCCATATGAAACAGATCAGAGGCTCATATTCCAGTTAAACCTGCTGGAAATCGGAGGCAGTGGCGGGCACACCAGCCCGACTTCCCCTCAGATACCAACCACAAAACATAGGCTCCATTAAAACATGAGAGCTGCATCCTGGCGCTAAAGGGCCTAGTCAGCACCGGTCGGCCCAGTTGAAGACACTGAGTCATACTTTCACACACAGGTGTGACTAAGTCATTAAATATGTCATGTGAGTTTCAGGCAGTGGCTTATTAATCCATTTGACAGTTACATGTGATTTCCATAAATGTTATACCTTGAACTGGCAGCAAGGGAAGAGAAAATACTGAGAGTAAAATGACAAAGCAGGACTATTCTAAGCTGGCTCTTACCAGAGGTAGCTCCCAAAGTAGGCCACAATATTGTGGTGCATGCATTCCTTCACCATGAAGATTTCCTGCTGTATGATGGAAAAGTCATCCCCTGGAAACAGAGGGAGAAATCACACAGACACATGGACAGAAAATTATTATTTTTTTTCATTTTCTGTATGGGGAATTGTTTCATTTTAAGTGACATATTTTCCGTTTGGAAACAAACACCTCACAAAATGATTGCAGGCATGAAATAAAAACAAGTAGGGTTATGATTCATCTGCAAAACTTACACAATAAAGTGATGTTTTTTACACTAGAACAAACATTACATTTTGAAATGTTGACAAAAATAACCACTCAAAGCATTTTGGATGATACGTAGGTTGAGCCTTAAACTTGAGCTTTTAGAAAACACTATAATCTTTCCAAACTTAAAAAACACAGAACAGTCTTCCCTTTTATTCCTCTGACTATATGGTTCAATATTTCATCTCTATGTAAATACATCAGATTACAGACCAGCTAATAACAATAGAAAGAACACCTTGTACTTTTAAAGTTTATGTGGGATAGGCGAATATCCAGGCTGCTCTCCAGTTCAGCAAAGCACTCAAACACATCCGACCAGTAGGAAGTAAGAAGACAAAAATATGTAAGCCCAGCTGCTCCCAATTGTACAGAGACACGGCGCTGGAATACATTAACAGGAGGTTAAGATCTACCAGGCCCTGCCAGCTTCGGTGCTCTATCAACAGACTGTCATCATAGGCAAGAGCCCAGATTAAGCTCATTTAATGGACACAATCTCTGCCAAAAACATTAAAATCAAAACAGCAGGCCGCTCATTACTTGTGGTGGAAATTACTGTCAACAAACCAATTTTTTGGTGTGTCTTTGCTGCTCAACAATGTGACATGTAAACAAGCCTCTCTTGATGGCTGAATTCTGTTATAAAAAATCATCTGGTTGACAACATAGTCAGAGTGTCAAGCAAAAATTGGCAATATCACCAACCAGTCCTGACCAGCATCTTACTACAGTATGCAGCTCCAGACACTGAACCAGGAGGCAAATAAAAAAATAAAAAATAAAAAAAAGTGATGCAGCAGCAGTTGAAGTTTGGAAGAAAACATGATAAATGGAGATACCTCCTGGGCCACAGAGGCTCTTTTTCAAGTACAATTGCTATACAGCAGCCCTGTTTTCAGTCTGCAAAGGGAGGGGTTAGTCTCTCTCACGTGAGAGGCTGAATTGAAGTCTGGCTGGAATGCCGTGCAGAACTATCCAGCTGATAAACAACAAACTGGCAAATTTCAATCAGCTTTGAATGTACAAGTTGCTGACTCTTGTATTGAGTAACATCAGAAGACTGATTAAATGTCAGATCTCAGACCCAATCTAAAAGAACCACTATGTATACCTGCATCCCTGTTGACTACATTAGAGCACATCACCTTTCTTTTCATTAGATTCATCGGATCGAGGCCTTGATCGGTATATTTATTAGCTTCATCATGGCTGAGATGTTGATTGTGAAAAAGTGTAAGTCACCAGTGGGAGGATGTACCGTGAACATGCAATGTTCTGTATGTGGAAAGAAGTTTAAAGTATATCTGAGTGGTTTTGCATGTAGCTTGGGATCCTGCCATCAATATATTACTCTTAAAAACAGCTTGATTCAAATTTCTACTCAAATCCTCTTCAAGACATTTCGCTCATTGGCTCAGCAACCTGCCACAACCTACAATTACTTATTCCAGCAAGCCCATTATTTCCATTTTCTTATTCTTGTTACAGATGCTTGAGAAGTCTGTAGCAAGAACAGCTGAACTCCACTCAAGAACAAGAGCAGAGGCTATGGTGAGGTGCCAGTATTACTCAGTTTGCTTGCTGTGTTTTTCAGCCTTGTTTATTGTTTTTTTATGTGGCATAATACGGATGTAATGAATGTATAACAGTCTTAGAAAAGCTAGTGCTTTACAGCTTTAATGATGACGAATGTGAAAATTATTTCCAGTCTCAGTGTATTTGCCACATTACAAAATACTACCAGCAAGTGCTACTTTGGGCAGATTCATTTGGTTACAATTACATATTACTGCTACTAATGTGTAATTACACTGTTACTAATTTTAGTGTCATTTCACATCAAGAAGAACTAATGTTGATAAGTCATTTTCACATGCATCTGTTGACAGAGAGCAAATGGTACAAGGAGCCACAAAAATTTGAGCAAGGGTAATTTCAGTGACATGACTCTGTGCTTGGTCAAAAAAAAAAAAAAAAGACATAACAAGTCCCCACACAATCTTCTCTTCTCAGCAAGTTGAAGCCAAAGAGTTTAGCCACTTCCTGTCATATTGAACGCTTCCCTCCGGTCCGTGAATGTACACATCTTCGCTCACGGCTTCAAGTTTCAATTCAGTGTGTAGGAATTAAGTATATGATTGCATAGCTGTTCTGTCTTTCCTCATAAAATTACATCTTTAAGTTTATCTTTAAAGTAAAAATTAAAAGCAGTTCACTAATTAAGCTCCATCCCAAAAACGTTTCACAAAGTTACTGGTTCTGCTCTGACGTAACGGCTCATAGAAAATAAATTCAGTGGCACGCAGAGTTGAGAGACATTCTTCCACACCCAAATGGCTTGCAGCTGAATTTCTAATGGAAACTGCCAGGGGGCTTGTGCCAACGTCTCAGCGACAGAAATAAAAAACTGAAAAAATTAACTGTCACACGAAGAGTAATAGTGTTTAACAGAAGCAGGTAGTAAAAGTTTCCCTCGATGGTCAGTGAGTGAAGTGAGAGCAACACTAATAAGGTCTTCACTGATCGTTTACCCTCCCAATGATCAGATTACCCTGCTCTGCTCCCTGCAGCCCCTGCAGCCAGAGGGCTTCACCACTCCTAACTCCTTTCTCCTGGCCAAACCTGTTTGGTTCAACGGTCCGCCCACAGCTGTTTACCTCAAGCACAGAAAGGAGTGACTCTTACAAAAGTGGGGGTAAAGAAAAGAGAGTCCTGCTTAAACAGGATGACCTGGTCTGGATTAAACCTTGTTTCGTCTCAAAAGAAGGATCAAGCAAATGTGAATGGTGTTTAAAGATATTTGTCTGGAAACTTTTTGCTGCAACTGATGTGCATGCACAGAAACATGATGCAATTTTTTACTAGATGCTGTACAAGAGAAATTATATATCAGAACAGGATTAGAACTGATACATACTTCTGAGAGCAGTAATAGTAATGTTTAAAAAAGCTTAGTCATTGTAAGTCAAAAATAGCTCCCTGGAAACAAATGTAAAATGTTAACCACCACTACCACTCATCAATCCTGTCCTCTGTAATCCTCTCTCTCTCTCACTGCTGATGTGGATTCACTGGGCTGGTGGAGGGTGGAGGGGCTGGCCTGGGAGTGGGGGCTGTATGTCTGTGAAGACTCTCAGTCATCCAGGTCATGGTATTTCTAAGTGTTATAGGAAGGCCACTGGACTTACTTGAGGTTCTAGAAGACGTTTGAAATGAATGAGGGGTGAAACGTCCTCAACAACGACGAGTAAGTCCAGTTGCCTTTGTGTAGCACTTAAAAAGAGCGAGGGCTTCAAAATGATTTGCTATTAGCCTAACAAGTACGTTACGGCTAAATCATACCAGCAGTGGATAGGAGACTGTGGCAAAGCAGCTCAAATGTTTGCTTGCTGAACAGCTGCTTTGATAGGTCACTTCTATTAGCTTTGTGCTCACAAAGGTTTTCTTACACTTTCAGTAACAAGCATAGATGTCTTCAACTCAAGTAAATACAGTATGAAACTTTAACCCGTGTCATGTTCTCCTCCTTGGTGTCTCTGGTCTCAGTGTGAGTCTGGTGGACTCTGGTAAGCTCATTTCACTTCCTGATTTTCTTCAAGTACCAATGAAAGAATCCATCTTAAAAAAGGGTTCTTCATCATTTAGAACCACGTTTCGGGGGTCATTCCTACAAATGATATTCACTACGATTGCACTATAAATCAGTGAGTATGCATTTACAATTTCTATTCTTAGGAGTCATGACAGCAAGAAAAACATATCCCTTGTCCAGTATTTCTTCCAACTTGCAGCTAAGCCCCCCTGATCTTCTGCTGCACACACGAATGCACTCTAATCCCCCCTCCTCCTTTATGCCAGCAGAATATGTCAAGGCCTTATATCAAAGCTCAAGACTTCTACAGTCTGATCAGGAGGGAGCAAAAATGTATTTCAGACCGATCATCTGAGAGTTTACTGATTTTAACGCTGGACAAGATCACACCTGAGAAAAACAACACGTTTAAACTTCAGGCAAAAATATACCATTAGTCCCACAATCCTCTCACTCACAGCCTTACACAAACAGTGACATAATGAATGAAAGAGAAAACAAGGAGAAGTGGATCTCTTCCTTCACTGACTGGTAATCAGATGAGCTCTGTCTGGTTGCCGGTGGCACAAAGTCCTCTTGGTAATCCCACTAATCTGGATCGCACTAACTCTGTCACTAGGTCATCATCAGCACAGACCCCAGAGCAGCGCACAGTCAGAAATGTCATCTTTCCCCTCCTGCCTCATACACTCATGTCACGCTTCTCTGTTTTTGTTTTCCAAATGACACGCTTTTTCAGACTTTGGTTCAAATTCAATGCAGACTGCAGGAAACTGGATAATATAACTGTAACTATAACTAGTTATAATGACTATAACAGTAAATTTCACGAGACATATTAAAAAAAAAAAAGTGAAACAGCAGTGGGTCTACCAACACATAAATATTTGCAGTCATGTGTATTGGCACGGTGCAATGATATTTTTCAGTCTTTTTAGTGCTTTATATGCATTCCATTCAAAAGCCTGGAAAATAACAGACTTGTTTTCCAGACCTTATTTTTCAGCTCTGACAAAAAAATCTGAAAACAGAATGTTTTCTCTTCACTATGATGAGAAAAACTGAGATAATAAGATGGTCACTCTTACCTGGTTCCAACTTTATGATCTTCACAGCAGCAAGCTCTCCTGTTTGTATGTTTCGAGCCTGAAAGACACAACAGACACAACTGTCAGTGAGAAACTATGGACATTATACTGCTCATGTGACAGAAAATGAATGGTCAACAATTAAGTGGTGTAGCCTGTTTAATGGTAATCGATTAGGTGATTAATTTATTTATCGTGGAACAATCAGATATATTTGTTGGTTCGAGCCTCTCAAATGTAAGAATTTGTTGCTCTTCTCTCTTTCAGCGCGGAAACAACTCGTCCATTGACAGAAAAATAACCGGTAAATATTCAGATAATTCGCTTAGTCTGTTTTCAAGCAAAAAAAATGCCAAACATTCCCTAGTTCCAGCTACTCAAATGCTCGAATACTCAAAAGTTCTGATGCCTTTGTTTGTCTTTCTTGATAGTAAACTGAATACTTTTAGACATCACTGTGGGCTTTAGGGAATTGTGATGGACCATTTTTCACTATCTTTAGACATTTTAGAAACCAAATGATTGATCAATTTAATGAGAAATTAATTGAGAGAGAAAATTATTGTTAGTTGCAGCCTTACTTTCTTTTATATCAATATAAATGGGATATATTGGGATATGGGACTGTTGGGCAAACAAAAAAAGCAGTGTGCCAATGTAACCCTGGGCTCTCAGAACTTGTCACTGATGTTTTAAACTGTTTTTTCACTATTATTTATTCATTGACAGGAAATTAAATGAACAAAGAGTCAACAGATGAATCGATAATAATCGTTGCATGCAGCGCTAGACCATGACTTAAGATGATACTGCATTTTGATAGGCCATGAGTAACAGTTTTAGCCTACATAGGCATTAAACCAATGACTGTCGTTTGGATGATCCTCTCGCCTTCGTGAGAAGGGAAGTGAAAATATTCACTGTAGTAAATGTTTTACCTCCATCAGACAAACTGAAAATCATTACATTCTCAAGTAGTGCCTCGATAACTGGTTACCTCTACTGTATTTTCTCACTGGGCCAACAAAAATCAAACCAAAAGCCCTCTTAAACAAGCATCATCCCCAGAGGTCATTAGGGCAACCCATGGGTAGTGTTAGTCAGCAGGGAGAGGCTGGACACTGTCTTTCCACAACTATGACGAGCAGCAAACCTTTAAATATCTCTGCTGTGTATGACTTGTGATTTAGTCAGTCTTACAGTTGCATATTTTTGTTCATTCTTGTCATTCTTTTTCTTTCTGTTGTTTGTACATTACCAACTTAACAGTGTGATATCTTATTATAGCAGCAACTACATCTGAATGTATAGAAATACATTTTAAGAAGTATCCATCCATCATATGTGACATTTCTCTTTCAAAGTAGGTTTCACTGACTTCCAAATCCAGGTCAAGACGGGATGCTCCCTAATCCGTGGGAGTGCAGCGATGAGACGAGCAGCTAAATCAACCGTAAACCACAAAAACCCTCCAGCATGGCCACCTTTCAACGCTGGGAATGTGCTGGTGGTGATTCACACATATAAACGGTAACCCACACAAAGCTTAAACTTGTTCTGCAGCTGATACCACACATCTATACAAACAACAACAGCACACAACCGAAAACAACTTTCCTATTTTGCAAAACAGGACAGTTTTTCTACTGTGTATGTACTGTACCATGGCACATTAGATCAGCTTGCATATTGTTTCTGTGACTTTCTGTGTTTAAGTAATGACCAAAGTGTTGCTTACAACCTGTGTCTAGCTTCCTGAAACAGCAAAAAACCAACCTGAGAACTAAACCCCAAAAGAGGAAGTTTGCTGACAGTTAACATATGTGATACAGCAGACAAGACAGCTTGAACAACCTTAAACAGTCTTTGACTCTCAGAAGGAGGAGACGAGTCTGGCATGTAACAGACTTCTGAAGAGACCAAATCTGACACAAGATCAATCACCATGTCAGGCTCAGGGAAGAACAGGTGTGTCTGATGTTGACATGCACCTATGGGAACTGCAGTGAGGATGGGTATATGAGAAACTCTTTACAATAAGGAAGAACATATTTCCTTTTATCCAACTTTTTCACAACTCCAACAAAGTTCTTGTAAACTATGAAGGCTTACTGAGGTGTGTAGGATCAGAAACTCTTGACCTAAACATTATTGTCAAATAGAGTACAGGTGTGCACTTTGTAGGATTCTTCAGTTCCTTATTTGACATCCACTTTGAAACAAACAGAGGCAGCGCAAGTATCAACACCGCACTCACTTCCATTATTGACCTTTCCTAGATACTATTAGTGGCCTTTCATCAATTCAAAAACAAAATTTGCCTATAAACATTTGTCTGGTAAAACTATTTAAGCTTAAGAGTAAGATTTTAGCAAATACCGTCTAGCAACAATTAAAAAGTACAAATTCGAATTAAAATACAAGCATATAAATGGACAGAATAACAATAAACTACACTGAGAGCCAAGGGTATGACACTATAATGAAGATAAATGAATCATTATCACAGTAATAACAAAAGGCAAGAATATGTGACTCTCAAATTAATATAATCGGATGTAATAAATCATCCAAAGTGAGGAATGCTGTGCACATTAAAATGCAACTGTGCACAGCAGACCAAAGGAGGACTTTTCCCAATCTGAGGTGTTTCCGCTGTCAATGCGGCGCAGAACACACCCATAGTGAAACGCATGTTTAGACAGGGGCCTGATCATATTTCAGCCTGCTGCAGCCCTCAGCCTGCGAGCTCTGGGAGAATACCAGGCGCAGCATTCCACCGGTGGCCTGTCTGGGGGTGGGGGCTGGCCAGAGTGGCTTTGTATGGAGAGGGACCATGACAGGCTGCCTGAGCTATCACACTGTGGATCAGATGGGTCATCTGTTTGTCTGTGGCAGATGGATAAACAAGAAAATTCTCCAGCAAAACATACCTCACTACAGCCAATAGATAGTGGGAAAAATCTGGATAAACTACCACATATGACAAGATAGCTTCTGTGTAGACCTCACAAAAACATATAATTCTTATGTCTCTCAATATAGTTTTAATGCAATGCAGGGGCATGATGCCTGCTATCTCTCCAGTACATGCCAATGAAAGGTTTACAATAATTCCAGTAAATTCCCTCCAAAACTGCATCCACTTGATAGTAATTAAGTCATAAAGTAATATTGTCTTTGGATTGTAGCTTGACTTATAATTCTGGTAACAATTTGCTAATTTGGTCTTTCTTCACACACTTTGAAAAGTTTTGAGTTACTATGAGACTGAGTTGCACCTTTCCTTTTAAACGGAAATGTTGAGTCTGCAACAGTCCTGTTTTAGGCAGCTTAGTGCATTTGTTTGCGGAACTGCAAATGTGTACATATTGTGGTCTGCCAAAAAAAACAAAATAACTGCACTCTTACCTCATTTCATCTCATGTGTCTAAAATTAATTGTGCTAAACTTGAAGGTCTTTGAAAGACAGCAAATAAATTTAGTGCATGAGTGATTAATTTAGTGGTTCTTTTTGCTCTTAATTTACATAGATATACATGTATGTATTTATGGCAGAATTGCCTGCACAATCAAGATCTAAAAATGCTATACAAAGTTCAATTGCTGTAATTCTACTAAATACTAATGATAGGCCAACATGCTGCTGTTTCAATAATAGAATGGGCAACATGGTCTCCACTGCAAAAAGAAAAACTGATGTGTATAAAATGGACAAGCAGGTACAAGCATCCACTGTTCATTTCACTCAACCTGAACAGCAAAACAAGTTCAGGAAATTGTTTCAGCTAACTGTAATACCACACAACCAGGACAGACAACATCTAAGTATATTGCAATATTACTGAAATCAAAGACAATAGTAGGGATTCAGCCATTAATTTCATTTTTGATTAATCTGCAGACTATATTCTTGATTAATCAACTGAAATTTTAATGCATAAATGTCTTAAATGGTTTTGTACTGTTGGTTGGACAAAATAAGACATTTGAAAACATCACCTTGAAATCTGGGAGGTTGTGATGGACATTTTTCAGTATTTTCTGATATTTAATAGATTATAAACCTAAATGCTTAATTGAAAAAATAATCAATAGATTAAATCAATTATGAAAATAATCATTAGTTGCAGCCCTAACATATTACTCATCTTGTGTCATGTGACAGAAATGTGTGGTGAGCGACAATATGATCCCCATCCTTTGCTCATTGTATAATGTGGTATCAGCCACGTTAGTTCAGCCAATGAGAGTATTTTTGTAAAAGTGGCATAAATGCATGAAGAAACTGGCCCTCATTCAACAGCTACTGTCAGATGCGTTGGCCACATGTTATCGATCATGACTCATAAAACAAACAACACTCTGCCTTAAATTATGGCTGTGGGGTTGATAATCCATGTGATGGTAAACCAAGATATCTCCAGCTCTAATGACAGGCTGTGGGAACCAGTAACTCCACTGTACCTTGTACACGTCTCCATATGTGCCACTTCCCACCCTCTGAATGAGCTCAAAGTCATGCTGAGGGTTCCTCCTCTGAATTTCACCGCTTGGTCGGGGAAAGATATCCATGGTAGCTTGAACCAAACGATCCTTTACATTTAGTTGGCTCGATCTATTGTGATGCTGGTTTGACGAAGCGAAGGTCCTGAATAGAAGCTGATCACGGTTACTCAGATGGTCCTTCTCCGTGCCCCATGTCCTGATAGAGAGACATAGGAAAAGTTTAGGAGGAAAGTATTAAGAGAACATAAATGCAAAATGTAACAGAAACATGATTTTTTTTATTTATTTATGTTCCCCAACAACAACCCAGCAGACAAACTAAGGTGGACTACGTCGGAAATATGAATATTCTGTCACCATTACCATGACATCTGTCACACAAACAACTCTGGTATTTGTTTTCTCTTAAACGTGCCCTCAAAATAAAGTATTTGACGCTCGCAATAAAGCATAGAATAATCCAGAAGCCATTCAAATAACATTAGCTTGTGTCTAACGTTAGCATGGGCACTGGTCATTCCAGCAAATAGCCAGATCCAGGTCTGGTCTACTCTGGATGTGGTGAGTTAGGGGCTTAGCATCAGGTCAGCTAATGTTAACTAGCAAACGTTAACTTAGCTTCGCCGCTGGTTCTAACTTCAACTGTGCCTACCTTTTACGATACAAACACGTCGGATGAGCGCGTCTTGCATTTTAAATCTTTTCCAGGCTTTTAACTGTACGATGGCGTCGAATAACCGCACAAAGAAAGAAAAGCGGTCCCCCTTTGTTATCGAGGAAACAGTAGTAAACTTCAGTCGGCTGTGGCTGTTCGCTCCGTCTCCTTCAGTGCAACGGCAGCACAGACGTTACAGTCGAGTTCAGTCCTCGCAACAATGCCAGCATTAAGTTTAGCCGCTGACATGTCATTTCCCTCTGATGACAGTTTTAGAGAAGCGTCAGGCACATACGTAAAAGATTAACGGCAAGCTACATAAGTAATGTCAAGTAGCACTCTTAAATGCAGTCCAAAGAAATCACCCGAAAAAAGCAACAGTCTGTAGCTAATCTCTGAGGAGTCGCAGTTACTGGATTCTGATGCTGCATTCAGGAACTCTTCGTAAAATCTAAACTGTCATTAATAATGATAAAAAAAAAAGGAATACAAAATGTCTGGTCCCACAGCCACATGATGTTAACATAAAATAATTAAACAATTACAATACCATTGAGCATATAATTAAAGTATTTGTTATTGGGCATCGAGATAATTGCTTTCTACATTAACAGAAGCATAGCAAGGATAAAATGTTTTTTTGATACTGTTTTTGTTACTGTAAGTCAGTGTAAACATCAACTTTTTTTGCACCATTTATTGGTAAGCAGTACTGTGTTTCAGCCCATACAATTCACAAGTATTAGAGAAAACATCGACATTCCCAGTCTTCTGTGATGGATAATAACTAAGTACATTTACCTCAGTAGCGTATGGTTATGGAAGGAACTTACCCTTAGTATTTAAATTTTCTTCTCCTTTATACTTCTACTCAACTACATTTAATTTGGTAATGTTGTGGATAGGATAGCCCCCCTGAGAGACTCTAATAAAGTTTTAGATACAAACAATATTATGTCAAATTGTTTATTCAACCACCAGTAACAGCCTTCAATGATAAATAGTAAAATTTATAAATACAAACATTATATCCAGTTTTTTTTGTTCCACTATTCCCCTCACTAGTACACAACTGCCAGCATATAGTGTAATTTTTTGTCTAGATATTTACGACAGTACGCGAAGGCAGCATGTATTCCAATCTCTGTGTAATTGGCGCCACTTAACGGCGTAAGCAGGAAATGCATGTAAGGTAATTTAACAACAGGCTGAATGAAACAGCCTTGATATCAATTGCAAAGGCCGTACTTGGCGGTGGCTCTTATTTTGACACACCGAACAGCGAACCACATTCATTTTTTCCGCATTATTAAGCTGCTACTTCACAGCAAGAAGGCAACAACAGACAACAGCGCCACCTGGCTGCACATGCGACCGCTGCATCAGGCTAGGAAGAAAAGCTCCATCATCCTCCTGTGATACGAGCATCGTTTCGGCGGAGATAGGGCATCCTCCCCACCCCCGACACTCATGACTACCGACTAGGGTCGCTCATTAACGGACAAATAGAGGGATATAAGGACAGTATTATGTCGAAGCACCGCAAAGACAGAGACAGCTGGGGTGAGTGTACGTACGACATTTGATATTTCACGCTTTCCTTGACGCACATAGCGTTTTTTTTTTTTATTATTCGTGTCGAGGCGAGGGTGTAAGCAACGCAGCCAATTACATATTTACCTTAGACTCCATGACGAAAGGCTTGTTTTCATTTCGACAAAGAATTGTGACCAATGTGTGTTTATTTTGATCCTGACAAAATGTGATGTTTCTGGCAGTGAGAAATACACCATGTTTGTGTTTGTCACTGCAGGACTATCGGCCAATCAAGCACAAGAAAGCAGACATTTTTTTTTATAAATATGTTTTACCATGAAATATCCAAAATGATTTCAATAGCCAGCACACAGGAAATACCCTCTTGGGATGGTCCAGGCCACAAAAGGCCTGAAAATAACCTTCTGCTATTATTGAGTTTATCACTGTGAGCCTCTTATCATGGTCTATGGTGCATCTGGCATGAAATTATGTAATATTACATCAGTAAATAGCTTGTCATCACACTCATCACCATCATCTTTGCCCTAATCATTATTGTTATCATCATTAACACCACCACCACCATGATTAGGATGATAACCAGCATCTTGATTGCCACTGACATCACTCTGTGGCCCATGTTATCTTTAAATACAGGCCTGCAAAGGGGGAAAATGACTGAATGACTGTTTTAGGAGTGGATGAAAAAAGGGGGTAAATGCTGCTGTTTGTCATTAGAGAGTTTATCTGGGCTGACCCACTTTAAGCAGACACTGCCCCTGACGTCTTCGGCTGTTTTAAGGGCAGCAGCAACATGATCAGGTTAACCAGGAAGGCTAGTGCCGGGCTTGGGTGAGGCCTTTGCAGGAGATGTGAAGTGAAGCTGACAGTCTTCTTCAGGCCTGAGAGGAAACCTTGGATGATTCCTCCTTAAATTATTCACTGTGCATACTTGGCACCCTGCATTAATCTTTTAGCATGCTTCCAAATTTTGCCCGTTACTGTGCCTTTGTGAGATATATAAGCATGCTTAATATGCAATTACACAATTAAATCAGCATCACAGCCACTGAGATTGACATGGGTGAATGTGTGTAAGGAATTTTTTTATTCTTCCCCAAGAGATCCTGTTTCTGTGCTTTGCAGAACTTACATCGGCTGATCTAAGTTTGTTGTAGCATTAAAAAAAAAATTGAAAAAAAGTGGGATTATGGAGCTAAAATTCCCCCAATCTGTGCTTCAGGACGTCATGCAGCTTGCACACTCTACATGAGACAGCAGAGATTGGAAACACACTGAGTCACTGCCTGGAAAGCTCCGGAAAAAGCTCTGAATGCACATGATCTCATTGGATGCTCACAGATGGGATTGATGGCATGGTGTAATTCATTATTGTTATTAACAAGCTTGCGGGCGAAGCCATTGATCTGGAGCTAACAGGAAGTAATAATGGACTCAACTTTTCCTGTTTGCTCATCTAATGGACCACTGTGTTTTCTTATCATCTCTGTGAAGAAGTTATGGCTGTTAACTTGCACTTTGCTTGACTTTCTGGTGCTAATTTATGTAGAAAAATATCAGTAGACAAATTACTTATCATCAACACTGTTCTGTCTTTGCATACAACCACATTCATAGTTGAGAATGTGTTTAGTTAAGGTTCATTTGTCCCTCTTTCAGGTTCATTCCCCTGCCTGCCTTTTTAATCTGCCCCCCCTCTGACTTGTCCCCCAGGGTCCCTCAGTGACAAAAATGTCTACGACTGGAGCTCAGAGGAGGAGGAGCCGGATGGACGAGCCCGGCCCGTCCAGGTGCTGCTGGTCAAAGACGACCACACCTTCGAGCTGGACGAGGCGGCGCTGAGTCGCATCCTGCTGGCCGAGGAGGTCAGAGACCGCGACGTGGTGGCCATCTCTGTGGCTGGGGCTTTCCGCAAGGGCAAGTCCTTCCTCATGGACTTCATGCTGCGTTACATGTACAACCATGTAAGTGTTTGGGTCTGTGCAAGCTCAGCTTTCGAATGTGGACCTCCTACCTCAGAACTGTAACAAAAATCTACTGAGAAAAACCAATATGTGATATTTTATTTTTACATAACAGATAATATTCATCTTTTCAGGATGGAAAAGTCAAATGATTTAGCTCATTATTGGATTTTTCAAAACTGCATTTGAAGTCACACCTCTCACGTTTTTTCAGTGAAGGGATGTTTAAAAAGGCGGCAAGAAAATAATAGGCTGCAGTGTATGAATGAATTCAAATAAAGAATCAATGAACAATGAAATAATAGGTAAATAAACAAAGAGTGTCGGTGCATGTGCACATACAAGCTTCCATATACATTTTTTTGTACCGATCAATACATGATATGTGTATGTGTTTACTGAATGTGCAGTATGCATGTGTGTGGGGAGGAAGTGTCTGTGGTGGAGGCTTTATGCACAAACGTGTGTACTTGTTTCACATATAGATGATGCAGTATTCAATATTTAATCCAAAACAATATAAGAAGATAAGAAACTGACCCACTGAACTAACCCGTCTGATGTCTTTGTGCTCAGGCCTCTGATGTCTGGCTCGGGGAAGCAGACGAGCCTCTGACCGGCTTCTCCTGGAGGGGGGGCTCCGAGAGGGAGACCACCGGGATCCAGATCTGGAGCGAGGTCTTTCTTGTGGACAAGCCAGATGGAAGAAAGGTGAAGTCTTAACTGTGTACTATTCCCTGGCTGGGTAGAGCAGACTATTACAATACAGTGAGGTACAATGTGACATAATTCAACATGACACAGTAAGATGCTATCATAACCTTTTCCCCATTGCTTTAAAATGACTCTTTTTTATTTGTATTAATCTTGGCAACAGGTTTGCCCGTTCTTCACTTCTTCTCGGCTTCATATTCATATAGTTACACACATTCACACTTAGAAACTGCAGGAGGAAGTCAGTTTCTGCATTTAGACACTTCTAACAAACTTCCGCAACACAGCTGCAAGGCAAAAGAAAAGCCTGAGTGCCATAGGTTGTCAGCTTTAAATCTGACCTCAAAATAATAATAATAAAGATGTCCCCATACTGTCTTAGATTCAAGATCTTTTAGGGCTGCATTAAAAAACAAACCAACGAGCTCAGGCAGCTGCTTTACTCATTTTTCTTTGCCTACATGTTCCCTGGAGCTCCAGCTCTTCCATAATAATCCACATACTATATTACAACTCTCTTTACTCAGCACAATCGAGGCAGGGGAAACATGCAGACCACCTTGCAGCGCAGGTCAGTGTCTTCATCTGTCTCATTACACAGGTTGCTGTATTGCTAATGGACACACAAGGCACGTTTGACAGCCAGTCAACGCTGAGGGATTCGGCCACTGTTTTCGCTCTGAGCACCATGATAAGCTCCATGCAGGTATGATGACTTTTACCTGTCTGACCCAGCTTTGCTTTAGTGAAGACTATGAATATTTAATCATATGTATGAAAGAGTACAGTACAGTTATATTTTTAGCACTAGCTAGTGACGTTGTTCTAGCGATGGCAATATAGCACCATGTCAGTTGCCCCCCCCACACACACACACACACACACTTTGGTATGAGATGGATTGCCATGAAATTTGGTACAAACATTCATGTTCCCCTCAGGATGAATTATTCTAACTTTGGTGACCCCTTAATGTTTCATCTAGCGCCATCAGCAGGTCAAAAGCGTGACTGTAAACTCTTACATGGTTTGTTCTTTGACTGGAGCAGCGTTAAAGAAATAATACTGTGTATGAATGTTCTGTTTCAGGTTTACAATATCTCACAGAATGTACAAGAGGACGACCTTCAGCACTTGCAGGTAACATTGTCGAACGTCAACACTAATGC